AAAGATAGTTTTCTAGATTTTCCAAATAAGGTTTAATTAATCGGTTTCAGCTTTTGCAGTTCCTCAAATTCTATTACCTCTTCAAGCATGGCCACACTGTTACTTTGGCCTATCACAGTCTTCTCTTTCGCAGCTGTGCTTGTCTCTTTTCTAGGAAATACAATACCAGCCATTAGAAGATATATTGAAATGGATAGTGCATATTGGAATGAGTATATTAGCCCGAGAATATTACTGTCGATTTTAAATGGAAAATCAATGAAATTGATGGAGTATTTTAGAAACCCGTATAAAAATAGACAGAGTGATAGAAACCCAGCATCTGAATGTGATTTTTTAAGGCCAGTGCTTCTAAGCCTTAAAAATAAAACAAAGAATGCAGCCACCATCAGCTCGATATTGAAAAATACCAGCATCATAAACAACGCCAATTTCTCGTTGATAAGCATGCCTAGCCCATCTGCATAGTACACAATGGGAATTCTGAATACTGCCCACAACTTTGAGGCAATGGAAATTGTATTGCTGAAAGTAGAAGTTGAATATTTGGTACTTGGAGCGATCACAGAAATACAAAAGAAAATACAGGATGTGAATAGGATATCGGCAAGTTTTAGAGCCGAGACAAGCACCAATCCTAGATCAATGCTGTACTCACGATAATTGACGACGTAGTGTTTATCAAACGTCTGAAGCAGTTCTAAAGCAATTTTGTCAATCTGAAACTTTGTACTGAGATAGTATAGCACAATACTATAAACAGTCGATGAAAAAATGGATAATTTTAGAAGTAGACCAGTGACCGATCTAAACTTCCCCTTAATCAGGTTGATCGCTGGCGTTGTGCTTGACATACTCCTGAAGAAGATGTACAAACATACCATTGTGACAACAACAGGTGCGCTCACCGAGCTTGAATCTATTTTTAAACTTGATTCCCTCTCCATTATTTGTATTCACTTATCTGAATTTATATTTTTAGTGTTTCATCTGCTTGTTTTACGTTTCAATTCAAAATAATGCTTGAAAATACTAAGAAGGCATAATATTTGCCTAGAATCTTAATCAAACATTGGATATATCAATTTCATTAATGCTCTGCTAATTTATTATCTTCAAAACGCTTTCGTAGAGATTATCTTCCAATGAACAGATACATTTGGTCTTTAGCAACATGCTCTTCAATTTCTTAACTATAGCCTGATGTTTATTTTTTTTGTCTTTGCTAATTTTATCCTCCAACCACACCAAAAACTCCTGGAGCTTCTTGGCATCCCTAATACACCCATTTTGGCAACTGTGATCTGAGCAATTGTCATTTGAATACTTGCTGCTGGAATGACAACTATGGATGATACTTAGATTCTTCTTTTTAGAAGATACGTTTGAATCGTTGGCTTGGGCAATGTCGTTAACTGCAAGGAACAATGAACTGAGGCGAGAGCTAGCCGATTGAAATTTCAATGCCATAATCTTCTGTCTTTCAGTTAGTTTTGAGAAGTCTGTCTCTTCATAAATATTTCTGAATGGAATGTATGGTGGAAGCTTCTCTTTTCTTTTGTTGCTTTTCCTTCCTCTGCTGGTCTTTATGTCCGCCTCCGAGACAAGCTCATGCGTGCGTGGTGACTCCAGAAAAACTCTTATGTCATCATCTGAGTCCATGGGTTTGTCTTTCCCACTTGTCTAACATAATTTGGAGGGAACGGCAAACAAAAATAATAAAGTACTCTAATGCATAGCATGGCGCTTTCTGTTTTGAAAATCCATTCCTCATTGGACTGACTGTGTTTCATCATATCGTCAAAGAAAGTGCCGTTGAGTACTTCATGGAAGAGAGTGCAATTCTACAGCTGAACGGTACTTTTGACTTCGCGGGGGAGCTTTCGTCAAAACTTGTCTCGTTTTTCAAAAACCAAATAGAAATAGGCAATGAGAACTTTTCGACCACGCTTAAATATACCGAAGTTGCCAAGATTTCATATAACTCTAGGACTGTTAAAATCTTAATGAAGAACGGTTCAAAAATTAAAATCCCGTGCTGTTCATCAGACATCAAAAGAATAAAGACAATACTCAGGGCAAGAAAGGATGATAACATCATAGAGGTTGGTGGAAGTGCGCTTGTAAGGCTCAGCGATCTGTGCTTTGTTGTTCCAATTAGATCAAATGATATAAGAGTGCTGAAAACTTCAATAATCCGAAGAATTTCCGAACATTTCTATCCAGCGTGTGAGGCTGTATCAATCTCAACTGACATCTTCAACAATATTTCAATCTGCTGTGAAAGTGAAAAAGGCAGTGAAATTCAGCTAGTCAGCTGTGAAGATCTCGAGGCAGCTCTGAGTTATTTTGATGGAAAGTTGAAATTAATCATAAAGCAATAATCAAAAGTGTAGTCATAGGCGAAACTATGAGCCAAGGGATGGGCGTTGGAGTTAGAAACCAATAAATACTGTTGCAGAACACATAAGCAAATTTTGCTCTGCATGATTATTGCTTTGAAAAATTTTCACATATAAAATAAAATTTTTATGTCCCCTGGAATGCCAAATAGGAAAGTGTACTTTAACATTGAAGCCAATGGGGAAAAGCTCGGAAAAGTCGTCTTTGAGCTCTTTGATGATGTGGTTCCAAAGACCGCAGAGAACTTTCATGCGCTTTGACCGGCGAGAAGGGCTTTGGGTACAGGGAATGCTCGTTCCACAGAATAATTCCGAAGTTCATGATCCAAGGCGGTGATTTTACAAAGCACAACGGAACAGGAGGAAAGTCTATCTATGGGCCAAAGTTTGAAGACGAGAACTTTACTATGAAGCACACAGGCCCTGGCATTCTGAGTATGGCAAATTCTGGGCCCAACACTAATGGTTCGCAGTTCTTTATTACTACTGTTAAGACAGATTGGCTCGATGGAAAGCATGTGGTCTTTGGAAAGGTCATTGAGGGAATGGATGTTGTTAAAAAGGTTGAGTCTTTTGGAAGCCAATCGGGAAATCCAAGCAAAAAAGTAATAATTTCCGACTGCGGAGCTATTTAATAAACATAATTTTCCAGTACTACAATGTCCCTGTGTTTAATACTGTGTTGTGAAATTATCACATTGCAAAGTAACTAGAATTCCCAACCTTTTATTTAGTTTTTGACTAGTTTAAGTATTTTAATAGATGTTAGAAAGCAGATACTTTCAGCTAAAGAGTAGGCTGCAGACAGTGGGACAAATGGTGGCTTTAAATCTTGATAGAGCAGCTTGGCATGAATAATCGGCATCCCTTATTATTTTTGTTTAATGAGTGTAAGAAACCTCTCTTTATCTGTAAAGCCAAGCATGACTTTTGGGAGAGATGTTGCCATTTCCAGGCTGGATCCTTTTGTTACTCTAACATCAACAGTATTAAAGCTTCCCAGAAACCTAACAAACCACAGGAATCTGTTGCCATACATGTAAATACATTCGCTTGAATACTTCAATCCTATTGAATAATCACAGTAGCCAGGCTCCTTAAAGCTGAGAATAGCGGTGTTATTGGAATTTGTCTTTTCAGGAAAACAGACGCAGGTTTTATGCTTGAAATGCCCAAATTGCTTGATTCCAAACGCTTTTTTGATAATTTCTTTGTCAAATTCGCTTGCCGAGTTGCACACAATAAATCCGCTTGGGGAAATGTTGTCTTTTCTATTAATTCTGATGAGCATTCCCACAACAGGCAAACCACAAAGAAACAGAATGTAAATTGGAAATCTAATAATGGCCAAGAAAAAGACTGCCATTGTTATGGGCTTGGGTTTTGGCTGGAGAAATGGGTTTATTCCTGTTAGAGGATCTTTGAATTTAGAGTACTTTTCCATTCTTTTAATGGGTTAAAAGCTGATGATTGTTGTAATGCATTTCCAAGAGAGCGTCTACAAGTAAACACACCTTTGCCATGCCATCTTAATGCTAAAGCCGATAGCTATGTAAGTTTACTATAGTGAATTTTAATATTTAAACTCCACAGTTCAATCGACAACATACAGACTCGGTTGGTGTAATAATATCTATTTGTACAAGCCTGCCTTTGGCCTTTCTGATTGGTCCGTTTAGTTCGATAAATTCAAAACAGAATTGCAGCCCATGGACTCGGACGACCTATGCAAACTAAAAAATTTGGATGAAAGCTCTCTTCTGGAAAATCTCAGAAAAAGATACTTGAATTCGCAAATATATACAAATTCGGGGCTATTCCTTATTTCCATCAATCCCTACAAGCAGATAGATCTCTATACCGAGGAGGTAGCAGGACTGTACAAGAAAAAGGCTGCTGGCAAAGGATTACAGCCACATGTATATGAAGTTCTAGAACAGTGTCTGAGAGATAAGGACGTCTATGGCGAGCACACGATCATCATCAATGGCGATAGCGGTGCGGGGAAGACAGCGTGTGCAAGATACATGCTAGAATACTTGGGCGTTCCTGCTCTCAGGGATGCTGATAATATTCTTGAGAGTCTTGGAAACTGTAAGACACACTTAAATGATAACAGCAGTAGATTCGGAAAGCTTATAAGGTTGGATAAGACAGTAAAAATTGAAACCTATCTTCTTGAAAGATCTAGAGTTACAGGCTATCCACCAAACGAAAGGAATTTTCATGTATTTTACTATATTTTAGCAAATAGAAAAGAAGCCTTGGTCAACGACTACATCAATTTCAACTGTAGCGGCATAAACCGTGAACAACTGCAAAGCCAGACGCTAGACAGCGCTTTCTTCAGCACCGAATCGCTCGCCAACTCATATAAAAACCTATCGGACTCATTTTCAAGACTTTCAATAGATTTCCAAGAAATCGAGATAATACTGATGGGAATAATCTACTTGGGCTCGGTGGAAATTCAAAACCAATCGATTCTGAAGAATAAAATGTATTACTCTGTCATTGAGCTTCTTTGCTTGGACGAAAAAAGATTCGATGAGTTTCTTTTGACTAAAAAATTTAAAGTACGGATAAGTGATAAAAGTGAGGTGATACTAAAGAAGTTATCTGACTCAGAAAGCTATACAATGAGAAATTCGCTTGCAAGGCTGCTGTATGAGAACCTGTTTTACTACGTTCTGGATAAAATTAATGCCAAGCTCAATGGCATCTCCCTTGGTATTTCCCAGCTGAACATTTTAGACATTTTTGGATTTGAGAAGTTTGAAAAGAATGGGCTAGATCAATTTTGTATTAACTGGTGCAACGAATGTATTCACGATCACTTTGTGAAAGACACCTTTGAGTATCAGAAGAGCATTTTAATCTCAGAAGGCGTGGACTCGTCGAGCGTAGACAGGCTCCTGTCGAAAAGATATGAGCAGAGTGGGTATGCCAATGGCACTACCGACAGTTTTAGCAGCAATAGTATCAACCACATTAAGATTTGTGGAAACGAATCACTTGACAATATTCAGAAGAAGACTGGTGTTGCTGATCTTATCATCGAAGAATCTCTTATAAATGGATCGGCAAGTAATCTTGCGCTGAAGCTGCAGAACTACATGAAAATGCGCATCAAGCCCGGGAATGCTCTTGTGTTTAAACATTTTAATGGATGTGTTGAGTATTCGCTTGACGACTTTGTGGAAAAAAACAGAGAAAAATGCTCTTTTGGCTTTGAGTTTCTTTCATTATTTGAGAACCAAAGTAGATCCAGCGGGTTCTTTGACTTTCTGTCTAAATCACTTGTCACATGCGAGAATGTTGTTGGAACATTCAGAAGCAGTCTCAACCATCTCTTTGGGGTTATCAGAAACACTCGTGTGAAATATATTAAATGCATAAAACCTAACTCGGGAAAAACACCCCTTATGTTTGATGGCGAATTGGTTGCAAAACAGCTTAGATCAGGCGGAGTGCTTGAGTCCATTGAGCTAAGCAAGCATCTTTTTCCTTATGTGCTGGACTTTCCCACATTTGCTGTCAGATATCCATTTACCACACTTAACGATCCCTGTCTAACCAAAGGTAAATCAAAGGTGTTTTTAAATAATGAGGGTTTCATTGATCTTGAAAATAGAAGACACATATATATCGAATCTTTTAATGAGCGGATACGGGAACTTTCCAGTGTTTTTGTAACCAAGAAGATTATGTCTGAAATTATTCAATCTAAGAAGCCGATGAAAGTGGCCGATAAGTTTAATACAAGCAGCACAGCTGAAAAAGTACTCGTTAAGAGCATGGATGGTACAATGAACCTGTTAGATAAGGATGAAAACAAGTGTTCGTCGTATGTAAATATGATGAGAAAAAATGAAGACCAGTACATGAAGCTGCTATCTAGATTGGAAAAAGACGTCATTAAAGATGTTAATAGTGCAAATATAATTTCTAATCCAGATCAGCAGTTCCTGCAGCACTCAGGCCCTCTGGAAACTCTCAAAGATGAAAACAAAACTTTGAAAAAAATTATTTCAGATCTGGAAAATGAACTAAAAATAATAAAGCATATGAAGCTTTCAGTCAAAAATATAAATTCCCAGGCTTTGAATGTGGAGTGTGAGGCCAAACAGGACCGTTCTGTGAGCAATGAGCTAGAAATGCTACAGAAGAAATTTCAGGACCTTGCATTTATCAGTTGCTATCCTAACGATACTTCACCTTTTGGGGTATTTAGATCACTTGTTGATCTTTTTATTGAAAACTTTCCTGTTTATTCCGAACAGCAGTATTCAAGGGATGACATTCTCTGCTTCGCTCAGTGTGTTTATTATATGGTCTGCTCTTCGTTCCAGCACAACACCAAATACTCCTTTGATGTTTTCATTGAGGAGTTGAACAAGCAAGCATCAGTTTTTCAGGAAAGCCTAGCGGGTGTTTTGTATGTTTTGAGCAACCTTATCGAGCTTAGATGCTTGTTTAAGGAAAGACAGGACACTCTAAAATCTGTTTTTAAGGATGGAGCCGAGACCCTCAAAAAGCTGGCAGCGCATCCTTCTTCTCCAGAGTTTCTAAACACGGATCGCACTGGAAGCACATCAAGGCAGGAAATTCCAATTGATAGAATATTAGACGACATGACAGCTTTGGATAACAATGAAGTATTGAGTATTAGAATGCATGACGGGATGCAGAAGATTTCACATGATTTCAGTACTGAAATAGACTTTATTAGATACATACTAAGTGAGCTAGACATATCGATCAGAAATTTAATGGAGCATTTTGGGGTGTTACTAACTGAATCTCTGTCTGACATCCTTCCCCATGTTATTCTTGACTATGAGCCGTTAAAAGAGTTAAATAGTAAGATCAAAGCCGCAAGGAAATGGCTATTTCCCAGACCCACCATTTCTCGAATGATTCAGTATTTAGAATATTTCTATGGGATATCCCACTACTACTACCTGCCAGCCTCGTTTGTCCTAAGCGCTATTTCATTTTCACTGTCAGTTGTCGATCAAATAACCTTTAACTCAATTTTAACGAGAAAGGGATTCTTAAATTTTAACAAGTGCTATGAAATTAAGTATAATCTGGCCGAGATTGAGAAGTTCTGCTTTAATATTGGGTTTAGAGATGGGTTCCTGAATCTCCTGCATGTGAATGAGACAATGAAGATTGCGAGCGCCATTTCCAGACTTGAACTGTTCCAAGAATCAGACTGTAAAACAGAAAGCGAAAGCAATCATTCAGAGTATCACTTGGCATATAACTCCGCCCAGGAAATCATAGACAATAGTTTTTTGAACTGCAACCAAATTAACTGTATTATTTCCAAATTTGAAGAGTCGTTATTTGAATGCAAAGATTACGATCCATACTCGTGCAAATTTATTTCATCGCCAAAAATTAGCTGTCCTGACCTAGATCAATGTTCCTCGGGCTCAAAATTTGTAGAGCCTTCTTATCTCCCGCAGAAGAGTCTATCAAGGATTCTCCATTATTTCCACGAATTGTAAAGTATTGTGCTGGCTAAAAGTTTAAGGCAAAGTGATTAAGCGCGAGAATGTTCGTGAATAAGTACGCTAAGTCAGCTTTGCCAGACGAGAACTGTTGCACAGCGAGGATATGGTATGTTGTTAAGTAAGCAGGAATAATGCATGCGACAAGCATGTCGTGTGAAATGTTTAAGACAGGGTAATTCTAAAAATGCCAAGCAGCCAGATTAGTTGTAAATTTAATCACAAATAAAGAGGCTGGTGAGACTTTGTTGGCTTTTCTATTTATCACTAATGGCACATTTTCATTGTGGCTTTGTTTACAGTTTTGCCTTTTCTTTGTTTATTTGACGTTTCAAAGTGAAATTTATTGAATTTTCTGATTTTGGCCATGGACTCTTTAAAATTAGTCGCTGAATCGATACCATTCATAAAAAAGATAGCAAAAGAGGGAAAGATAGAGCCAGTGTACTGTCTGATCATTTTTGTGGTGCTTTCGCTGATTATTATCCAAAAGACAATATTTGGAAATCTCATTGCCTGCTTACTTTCAATCTATTTTCCTGTCAGAGAAGCTATCCTGTCTATCCAGTCTCCAGCACCAAAAGTAGCAGAACAAAGAAAGCTCCTAATTGTTTTTATTGCATTTTCGTTCTTTACTGCGTTGGAAAGTGCAGGCATACGGCGAGTCATTCCTATTTTCTCAATAGTTAAGATTGCATTTCTTTTTTGGCTGGGATATGACGAGAAGCATGCAAATGCAATTTGTGACATGACCTTAAAGAACGTGCCACAAAAGTGGCTACACTGTGGAGATACAATTGAGACAGCAGTTAAAAAGGCTGCAAAGTCGGTTGAGGACAGAATTGAGATAAAGAAAGGATCTATTGAGATAAACAAGGATTAAAAATATTCAATAATACGTGTTGGTAAAACTTAAGGACATTTAATTAATAGTATGGTGTATGTGTTTAAGCAGTAATCAAAACTATTCAAGTATACTACTGTAAATATTTATATTGGACTATTTATGGCCATGCTGAAATCGGCTGGGCCAAATCTACTGCAGTATTCTTATTTACAGAGTAAGTAATTTGCGGTCTACACCCACTGACAAGCTTAAAGAAGCTAACCGCCCTCAAATGCTAAAAGCCCATGGTTTTCTGAAGATTTTCCACACAGTAAGCGTAGAAGATCATTGCCATAATACAGTAGCTTAAAAGAGTACAATCACAATGGCCATTAAATTATTTTATTGCGCTGGCCTGATTGTCTCGCACGCAAGCTCCTTACTTATCTCATCAACGTAGCTTTGTTTGTCCCTAGAAATAACCCCGTAATATCTGTCACATGCCTCTATCATTTCGGCTTTGAAAGTAGAGATAAAGTACTGTGAGCTGCTTTCTCTGATAATCTCACTTAGCCTAAGACAGTGCTCCATATCTAAATTGGCATCGATCTCGTCAAAAACGTAAAATGGAGACGGATCGTTCTTTTGAATAGCAAAGATGATCGATAGTGCAATAACGGTCTTCTGGCCACCACTCATTGAGGGTAGATCGCATGTCCTGCCATCAACTGTTATGTCAATTCCCTCGTTCCTAAGATGAAGATTCGATGACTTTCCCGTAAACTTCCTAAAGAAAAATGAATAATTATCAGAAATCATAGAAAAGCTTAGATTAAAAGTGTCTTCTTTCTTCCTGTCCAGTGTCGAGATAAACTCCAGTATTTTAGACTTTGAAATTCTCAGCTCTTCCAACCTTTGCCTCAGTTCGCTCCTTTGGTCATCCAAAATTTCCCTTTTTGAAAATCCAGAATACACCTTTAGCTTCTTGTTAATTTCCTTAAGGCTGGAGATCAATTCGTCCTTAGAATGCTTTATAAATATCGATTTAAAGTCCGAAACACCGATCTTCCTCATTAAATGTGTTCTTCTGTCGATTAAAAGATGCTTTCTTTGTAATTTGCTCGACTCTTCAATGTTTTCATTTGCCTTTTTCAGATATAGAGAATCGATCAGTGATTTTTCCTTAGACTTGAGATTTTCAAGTTCAACTGCCGAAGACTCAATCAGCTTTACTTTCTGAATGGCCTCATCGATCTTCATCTTTTTCTCACTGGCTCTGGCCATCTGGCTTTCAATAGACTCTAGCTCCAGCCTTATCTTCGGTATTCTCTCCTGGGCTTGAAGATGCTCCATTTCCAACTCTGGAATCTCAGGCACAACTATCCTTTTGCTTCTCAAAAGCTCTATCTTCAATGAAAGATACCTCTCAACTGCATGAAGATTGTCCAGGACTCTTGAGTCATCCTCATTGCCCAGCTCCGAGTATTTGACTTTCTCGTTAATTGCTGATATTTCCCCAGTTGTCTTTCTCAATTCTTCTTTCAACTCTCTCATCCTTCTCTTACAGTTCTTAAGCTCCTTCAGAATCTGGTTTGAGTTTTCATATCCTCCTGTTATCGTCCCATTTTTACTAAAGATATCCCCTTCTAATGTTACTACGTTGATATTGTATTTCTCAGATATCTCAAGTGCAGAAGTGGCATTTGATGAGACATAGTAGTCCCTGCATATCATTTCAAGCAGGTTTTTATATTTCTGATCACACTCGATGCTGTCAGAAAGGCTATGCACAGATTCTATCCTTATTCTGGATCTCGTGCGGGTAGACACCCTATTGAGTGCCACGAATGTCACCCTTCCTTCAACATTATCCACAAGCTTGGTAGCAACCTCATCGTCTTCAACAACAATCCAGAACAAGGAGTTCCTCGTAACGGCTTCAAATGCATCCAGTAAATTATCAGGAATATCAAACAGAGAAAAAACAGTGCCTACTACTCCTGCACTGTTCTTTAGCATTTCGTAGATATTAATAGACAGTTTTCCTAGGTACAAAATCTTGTTTTCACAGCTCTTTTCAGACTCTCCGATACTTTTTAGCTCCTCCTTAATTTGCTTGTCTTTGATCCAAAGCTGCTTTCTTTGACTGATCAGTGATTTATAGTTTTCCTTGCTTTGGAAATCGCTTTTAAAATTTCTTATCTCTTCTCTTTTTATTCTTAGCTGCTCCTCTAAGATCCTTATCTCCTCATCTATTCTTGCAGCATCCGATGATACTTTCACTGGCAATGCATCGAGAAACCGCAATGCCTTTAGCTCAATGTACTTCTCCTTCTCCTTCTTCTCCTCTTCTTCTAATTTCTGAACGGTCTCCAGCTGGGCCTTGCTCAAAACCGATACCTTATGGTCATATGGATTAATATTGTTTGGTCCATCTTTTGCTAGCTTTTCTTTGATTTGGTTCACAATCATCCTGTCAAATTTCTCCAAAAACTCTTCTGTTTCGTTGATTTTCAAGGCTAGTTTGTCCATTTCTTCTTTACACGCCCTAATTTCAAACTCAAGCATTCCCTCGTCCTGCTCTGCTGCCCTGACTGTCTGTCCTATTTCTATACTGCCAATCTCATCATTCAACTCCTTAAGCTCATAGTTCAAAAGTTCAAATTCAGCTTCGGCTTTAGACTTGCACAGCTTGTCATACTCCTCGGCCTTTCTTTTATACTCCTCCGATATCTTCATTTTCAGCTCTATCTTTTCAATCAATGCCTCAATCTTTTCCTCGCTCTCTTCATTCAGGAGGCTGATGGCTAGGGCCTTAGAATCTTCATACTTTTCAACTCCTGCTATTCTCGAAATAAGCTTAAACCTCTCTTTTGAATTCATCAGTGCAATGTCATTCACTTTTCCTTGCATAACAAAGCACTCGTGCGTGAATCCTGCATTCTCGAGAAGCCCTCTCAACTCCTCCTTCGAAATAGGCTTATCATTGATGATGAACTCTGGCCCATCCTTAAATATTGCCTTTAACACAAATGTAGATGGTAGGAGAAATCTCCTGTCTGAATTGTCAACTTCTACTTCAACTGAAGACGGTTCCTCGTTATTGTTATGCTGAGGCCTCCTCTCTTCCCCATATAGAAAGAGAGCACTCAGTGCTGTAAGAAGGTTGGACTTTCCAGATCCATTCTTTCCAATAAAGATGTTCTTTCTTCCTACTTGGATTGATTGTCTGGCAAAGAAGCTTTTAAAGTTTTCAACCTCAATTCTTTTTATGAACATGAAAACAAGATAGGGCAGAATAAAATATTTTATTTGCATGGACTTTACATTTGCTTAAGCTTAAAGCTGTAAACCTGTTTATTGATGGCTGATGAAAGAAGCTTATTGTTGATACCTACCCTGGAGCAGAGGCTATTATTTAATACATAGTTCCTGAAGCACGTTGCATGCCCTGCAGTTCTATTGCAACATTTAAAATCTAATCAAACCCTATACTAGCATCTTCTCAATGCCCATGGTAGTTTGGATAGTGGCAATTAGATATTCTCTAGTGTATATTTGGCTTTGGTCTATTTAGAATGTCCTCATCATTCACCTCTGCAAATTTGATCTCGAATTTAGGATGTGCAAATTTACAAAATGGTCCATTTTTGCAAAACCCAGCATAGTAATCCCAGCACATCATAGCTCGGTTGTGCTTGTTCTTGCAGCTGGCACCGTTCTTGCAGAATCCTCGCTTGTACCAAATACACTCTCTAGCTGCAGAATCAGGTCTGAGGTGGAGAAATATACAGTCGCTGTTATTGCAAACACCATAAACGTTGAAGAAGAAACACTCTGGCATCTTCTTAAGATTATATTCGTGGAGGAACTCACATTTCTCATTTTTCTTGCATAGTCCTCTCAACCAGTGCTTACAGACAACAGCAGTAGCTAACTTGATGTGGATAAGCCTGCAATGTCTGTCTCTACACTGCCCTTTTTGGTATGCTGGACAGTAGACATCGGCCGTTTCAGACAATTTTAGTTCTTTTTCGATGAACTCCTCGAAATCATACTTCTTTTCTCGGGCTGTCATTGCGCTCTACTTTTGTATTGGAGGGACATTGCTGCTTTTCGTATTTGAATTAAAGATATGCATAAGAAAAAATAATACAAAGAACTATATTTTAATCATGTGAAAGTCTTTGTGTTCTTAGAGTAGCATTCAAAGCAAACCGGATGGTACATATCAATCCCACCAACGCAAATGGATTCACCCTCGACCACTGCCTTTATGCTGTCGCCATACTTAGTTATTTTAAGGTTGTGTGATGCCAATCTTGGTGGTCTGTCATAACACATCATACAGTAAGTCTTGATCTGCTTGAAATCATCACAGAGCTCTAACAGTCGCTTGCTGGCTTCAAATATGTTTGTTTTGAAGTCATTTAACAACCCGTAGCAATGGACTTCAATGTTCTGACTTATAGAAATTACTCGAAGCTGTTCAATTTGATTAACGGTGAAGAACTGAATTTCGTCGATGAAAATATGATGACACCGGCAAAATCCATGTCTAGAGGTTGTCTGCTGGACTAATCAGCCTTGTGACTTTTATCTCCAGTCCAGATGCCGACCTAACCACTTTTGGCGAAAACCTAGTGTCTATTGTGGGCTTAAAGATGAGGACATGCTCACTTCCTTCAACGGTCTGAAGTTGGTTGGCTCTTAGAATGAGATCGACGGTCTTTCCAGAGGCCACAGGACCAGCATTGAATTTCAAGATGGCCATTGGGAAACAAGTTGTTTTGAATTTATATAGTTTTTGGAGGGAAAAGCTCCCTCCAAGCACTCAAAACAAATGGTGATAAACTAAATTGCAAATACCAAGAGCACTCTTTTAAGTGTCAAAGCTTCTCTTCTGTTTCAGTTAAAGCTATTTTTAAAAGATTGAAATCCAAGTAAAGATTGGCCGATGTACTTCGTGATTAAGATGAGTAACGCATTTCTAATAATTTATTTACCTGCAAACAGCGCTATTACTACCTCAAGTGTCGGCATCGCTTCTCTTCAAACACTTGTAATCAAAAGACATCCTTCCAAATAGGCTTTATTCATACTCAATTTGATGTTTTTCTAAAATCATCTTGCAAACAGGATGGCTTTTCCTTGAGCAAAACTCAATCACTGAATTGTCTATTAAGCTTGGGTAGTTTCTTGAAATCGTCAGAAGCAGTTTCAAGTGGCATAGCTGTATCTCATTTGCAATCATATCCTTCAAGTACTCTTGCAAAGGAACCAGGTTAATCTTGCACTTCTTATTTAAAAGACAGTTCAGCAGCAATGCGGCACGACCAGCTTGCTTGGAAATGACACAGCTGATGACCTCATCGATGTCTTGCAGCTTCGTGGCCATCAGTGCTTTTCCCAGTAATCGACATTCTCCAACAGTTAAGTCTTGGATGCTTAAAATCTCAACGGATTGCTTCTTCAGAAGCTCAATAAGCTTCCGAAATTCAGCCCTGCTCAACACTTTCTTTGCCTTCATTCTACTTCTCATAAGTTCAAACTCATTTTCATCCTTTGATTCTATGGCTTTTATTATTGAGTTGGCAACTTCCATGGCATGAAAAAAATTTTCTGGAAATAGCTGAAACTGAGTGTGTTCAATAAGCCAGGCAATATTAGCAGAGCTAGTCCATGCAGCTAAATAATAAAAATATACCAACACAGTCTACTGGACATTATTCGTGTTATCTATGAAAAAATGAAAAATACTAAAATCAAGAGAAATATGAGAAAAGTTCCGCCAATAAAATACGACCACCCTTTGAACCGCTTGTTGTCTGATCTTGTAACTCTTCGTACCATATTTTGTAGCATTCCAAAGGCACTGTCCATCTGTGGAGTGATCCCCCTCAGTCTACCATTTTGTGATTCTATTACATCTCTTAAATTGGCAGCAACATTATTTAGAGCTTTTATTTTACGTGCGAAAACCTCTATTTCGTCATCACTTTCTTGTTGCATCTGCGGGGCTTGAAAAACAAAATCCAAACAAGGCAAGCAGCTCTAGATCGAGACAGATATTACTATTAATAGACATTTACTTGCGGAACCTTTCAAAGGCGTAACTACGGTGTTCGGTGACCAGTGTTATTCTGAAGATGTATCTGTTATTAAAGCGTCGCTGCTTTGCAAGATACCCGCAGCCTGTTGATATGTGTATCCTTACACATGTGCATATCAGTAGCGACTAATTGATGTTTTAATTTGCTTGTGTGAATTTGCATTTTTGGACGTGTGGTTGGTGTGAGGCTCTATGCTTTCTAACTGCAAAATTTTTCAAAATTTTTCTCCTCCCCAATGGCAACCAAGAAAGTTGAAACGGCCCAAGAAACCACACAGCCCACTCAAAATCTTCAGGATGACAGTAAAGTCTACATTGCCCAGGTGTTGAATGTCTATGGAAGGACTGGCTCTGGTGGTGATGTTAACATCTGCAAAGTTCTTGTACGAGACACAGGAAAGACCATCTTCAGATCTGTGCAGGGGCCAGTGGACGTGGGGCACTTGCTTGCTTTAAGAGAGTGTGTAAGGGAGTCTAGAAGATCTAGATAATTAAACAGTTTATTAGAATTCGTCTATATGTTAGTATTGGTGTCAAAAGCGAAGAGATAGTACTTTACTACAACGTTTTGCTGTGGTATACTTGCGCTTTCAACTGAGCCCAAACACTACTTTTTATATTCATATGCCATATTTGAGCTAGTGTGTTCTAATTATCACGTTTCTGTGAATGAGACCTTTAAATCTCTGGTAGTGGATAGCCGATCCTGTCTTAGCTCAGCCTGTAATCACACACAACACATTCTTGTTAATTTATCAATTTCAAAAAAAATTTCACCTGCATGACATTTCTTTTAAACCTCCTGCTAAATATCTGCAAGATATTTTCAAAAAGCCACGAAACATATGTTGTGCAGACGTCAGACAATAAATTGCACTTTGTTACTTCTACGGTCGAGTCGCACCAGCTTTATGTTGATCCGTCTGTCAGAATTGTTGAGGATGATGGATTGACTCTTCGTGAAATAGAAGACAGGTTTGCGCTGCAATTAAAAGAAAACATGACTGCAGACAGCACAAGCATGATTAAAAAAGCAAATAGAATTGATCGAATTTATGTCTCGCAGGATGGATTTATTGATGTTTTTGGTCGTAAAGTTTTTATCGATGAAATTCTGGCTCATCCAATGATCGAGGAGGGAATGTATATCGCAGCGACTCAAGAACATCATCCTAGCATCATAAACAAGACTGTTGTAATCATGGCGGTCACAAGAATACATCTGCTCGATCTTTTCAGTCTTACTTCAAGGGTTTTGAAGGTCAGTCAGGTACTCTATCTTTACGAAACCTTTATCAGCATCCCAAAAAAGGAAAAGGAGATATTTTTAAACAAGAAATGGTGGAAATTCGACTCCAAAATTATTGCCGTGTATATTTTGAAGGAAAAGGACGGCTTGAATTTTATGCTAAGAGTGTTTAATAGGTCTGACGTGGCAGTATACAAGCACAGAATTCAAAGAAATTCGTCCAAGAAGCTGCCCATACTGTTTGTCTGTAGTGTTGTCTTCTCTATAATTTTTTATTTGAATCGAAATCTCAGATTTGAGTCTTGTATTGTAAAAAACAAGCTGTATACCGGCAAATTTATTAAAAAGGATTGTCTGATATACAAAGTCACTAACTCATTCTTTAAAGAGCACAAGAGGGTGTACGGAGATCTAAAGTGTAGCAATTTGGTCAATATACTTAATGAGACGGAAGGGTGGCTCTATCCAGTAATTGTTACCGAAAACACAATTCAGTTCTCGCCCCCAAACGATGCCAGTAAAGAGGAGAATCAAAATGAAAAATCAAGCAGCTCAAGCGAGGCATGCTCTATTGAAAATGACAGAAACCTGACAAATGGACATAGGGGGAATATGTCTAGGGAAGATATCCTCAAAGACAGCGACGAAAATCAAAGCATGGAAACATCCAAGACGTATGCAGGCTACTTTGCCTCGAAAATCTATGATGAAGCCCAGCAGGAGTTCATTAAAAAATTCAAAAACGATCTTTTAATAGTTGTACAGAGTGTTCGATATCTACATTCTTCTGGAGTCGTTCATGGGCGTATTTCCCCCGAGAACATACGTGTTTCCGATAACGGCCAAATTAAGCTCCAAAGTATGTTTGACAACCAAGGATGGAGATCGATGAAGCAGCTGAGGAATATCAAAAATAAAAACTACAGTCCTGACGAGTCGGATGACATGTTTTCTCTTGGATGTGTTTTGCACTATTATCTTACTGGATATCATCCTTTTGATCTGCGTGACTTCATTAAGAAAGAGCGGAAGGCATTTAAAAAAACCAACGATAGGCTTTCTGACTACGCTCAAAAGAAACTAGGGAATGAGATAGACACCAGCTGCAAAAATGACACAGAGGCGTGCACGCTTTCAGATACACCCTTAGCTGAGAATGGCATTTCAGAATCCAGGGCAAAGCCGTGCTCTCAAAATATACTCTCAAGGTCTAAGTTGTTGAACTGCATCTTTGGATTCACTACATCGGCCATTTGCTGCTTTAAACTACGTTTTGCTAGATCGCTCATTTTGTTGCACAGACCGGCTTTCTATATGTGCCGCTCCTTCGTTTCGAGCCTTTCCAACCTATTTGGATTTACCCACAAATACCTCAATTTTCCAGTGCACACAACAGTAGTCGTTTGCAAATTTTTGAGTTTCTTCAAAAGCACTTATAAAGTTATCTTGACTATATGGGGATGCATTGTGAAGTTCGTCCGTAAATTTCCGAGGCTCTTTCTGGAGACTTCTCCTGCTTCTCCTTCCTTGGCCTACCATAGAGTTCTTTCAGACGAAATTTCTAAATATATTGAATATAATGTCCTGTACAGCACCTATAGGATCAGGCTGGAGGACCAAGTTGAGCACGATCTCGTGTATCACTGTATTAAATCTCCTCTTACACAGGCAAAGTTCAGGCTTGTCAGCCATCCATATTTCTGGGATAATAGCAAATGTCTGGAATTCATATGCGATGCCTCTGATTTTATTGAAACCAATTCAAACTTCAAGCCTAGGCTTGAGAGAAGCAGGAAAGTGGTGTTTCTTGGCTCTTGGATTGACTATTTAGATGTCTCTATGGTCAAGAGTGTATCTTCTAAGCGCACATATGACCACCAGAGTATCTGTGATCTGATAAGATTTATTAGGAACTGCCATAGACACTACCAAGAGCTAAGAAATGAAGAGCTGTTTGGAACACTTGAGGGTAAGCTGTTCTACTATCTTTCACATAAGTTTCCTGAGCTTCTGATGTTTCTTTATCGAAACCCAGTTTTCAAAGATCAGCCTGTGTTAAGAAAATATTATGAATAAATTAAGCAAACCACTCCGTTTCTAATCAAATATATTTGTTAAAAGCACAGAGCTGCGGAGCAAAAGTCCATAGTAAGCTACGTTGTAGTTTACCACAAGCATTTATTAATGGTAGACACAATGTAAAAATGGAGTTGCTGGTAGACATAAACTGGTCAACATGAGCATGTAACACAAGAGGGTGTAAAGTGAGAAAAGGCCACACAGTGACAATGCATTATTTTGTTGGTAGAGACCTCTTTCAATTTATTTTACCACAAAAAGAAGGCTATGGATGAACAGGAGAAAATAAAGAGGCTGGAAGAGCTCAAAAAGCAACGAGAAGAGCTCGATAAGCTTATAAAAGACCTAACAGAAAGTGTGACCGGCCCAACAAACATCCCCTATACTACCGTTTATACCACTGTATTTCCTCCATACACCTCGAGCATCGATTTTTCAGCTATAGATCCAAAAGATCTCCTCCAAATCAAAATATTTGTGAATAAAAAATGTAACCAAGTCTCAACAGACTTCTCACACACGATAAATCTTGTAAATGAGATGCTTCCGTTTCGAGACAATATCGCTTTTAAGGAAATATTTCTAAGAAAGCTTTTGGATCAGGGCAGGGTACAAGTTTCTGGCCATTTTGAGTCCTATAAGCCCCTTTCGTTTTTACTATTTAAGCTTGACAGCCCAGATATAATCAACACGTATGTTAGACTGCTTATTACAAAGCAAGGTTCCGAGTCGGAGCTCAAAGGAATGTATGCAATATACTTTGGATTCCTGAATCTAAAAGAGGACATAGACGGCTGTTGGCTATGGATGGCCTCGATTCTGAATGTGAATCCCAATAGATTTACTGGATATGTTCTTGAGGTATTCTTGGTCATTTGTGGTGATCTTTTATTTGAGAAGATTCAGACTCAGTTTGCGGGCATCTTAAGGTATATTAAGAAATTTTACTTGAAGGAGCTTGGGAATGCGCCAGTTGAAAGCAGAATCTCAAGATTGCTTTCAAAATATCAAAACTGTTAAACTTTAATTTTAATATCGACTGTGCACTAGTGGCGATACATCAGTTTGTGACTGTTGATTAAACAGAAGAGCAGCTGCAATCAAAAACCATCCTAGAATATATAGGATTCTTTATAAATTGCCATAGATTCTGGCATTGATGTGCATCTTTCAAGGAACATTGTCATCTATGCAATCATCCGACATCATGGCTTGAAAACAAAAATATAAAAATAAATTTAGAGCTAATGCTTTAGCAACGATGTTCTATAAAACCCTGTGGTTTATAAGAGTATTAATAAAACTTTTGCATTTAACTATTCTTGCCTTATATCTACGCTTCCTTGTTTCATATTCATTTTCTTAAAAATTTTAAGCTTTTAGCCTGCCAGGCATGAATGCTATTAGGTATAAAGTTTTTAGGGACAGCCAAGTGCATCAAGTGGACCCAGTGTGCCATAGCACATGATCGAATAAATTTGTGCAAGCTTTTAGAAATAAGTATGTTTGAGCATTGCATTTCTTTTGGTCAATAGAATCTAGGCCCAACTTTACATGCATTTTAAGCACCTCTTTTGACGGTAAAGGTGCTACTTGAACAGCTATTGCATTGCACCGACATTCCAAATCCACACTCTCTTTTTTCAAGCTTTGACTCAGAGCTAATTTTCGGCGTAAGAACTGTGTAACATTTTTTACAAATTATTTGCTTGACTTTCCCCAATCTTATCTGGTATTTCCTGCAAATTTGCATTAGATCCTTGGCTTTTTTTCTTCCTAAGTGATTTGGAAGTATCTGCGCTAGCTTCAGCAAGTATTCTAATGAAGTTTGAATGTGCTTTGTATTCTTTTGTCTCATGATTTTAAAAAAGAATCCGATGGGCAGGCCACAGCATTATGTACAATACACTGCTAAACAAGAATACACCACTCATGCAACTCTTCTAGTGCCATAGTACCAGCACTTCCACGCACTGCAGCAATTTAAGATAATAAAATCCTAGCTTATCACAAAGTACTCAAAATATGGGAATGTCTAGTCATTTATTTGTTTTCCTTTTTAATTTTAGAGTAAAACTTTTCAATCAACTCCAATGTTTTCTGTACCGTCGAATTATACTCCTTTATTATCCTATTAGCTTGTGCCACTTCATCTGTCGTCTTTTCTTCAATCTGCTCAATGTTTCTGCATACACCCTCCAGCATAGATGGGCAGAAAAGTGAGGTTTAAAATTGGAAACCCTGAAAATCTCGAAGTGCAGCCCGGCAACTATTAGGCCTATTTTACATCATCTTCTAGGCTTCTTTGTCTTTGCTCCCTTGCCGTCTTTAAAATTTTTGAAAAATTTTTCCCCTACATGAGTGAGGAAATTCTTAGGAAATACATTCAGAATGGCCTTATAGATGCTGAGCTTAACGAGCTCTTTGGGAAATATTTCCAAGCTCAGATATATGCTGGAAGCACCATCAAGCACAACCAGACACCAATCAAGATTAGTATCAAGGTGTATAACCCACAGGAGGCTATTGGAGAAAACAAATTCAAGCTTCTGCAATTGCAAAACATGATAGGACAGAGATTTGATATTCCTCCAAACAATATCGACATTGTCTTTGAGAAGATTGCCGACCGAGGATTAGAGCCTGCATATCACGCAGAACAGCTCAGATTGGCTTTTCTTCAGAACAAGCCGTATAAGAGAGTCATCAATTCCATAATCAAGAGCAGTAGAGCCGCAGGCGCACAAGGTGTGATGATTAGAGTGGCAGGAAAGCTCAAGGGCCAAAGAGCCAAGGCTATTAAGTACTTCGATGGATATTTTATTCAGAGTGGAATGGCAGCCAAGGACTATGTTCGATCAGCCAAGTCCCAGGCCAAATGCAAGCAGGGCACTATTGGTGTTCAAGTTTCCGTGATGCTTCCGTATGACCCAGAAGGTGTGGTCGGATCCAATACTATTATTTCTGATAGGATTACGATTATTGAGCCTAAGGCATTTAGTTAAATTAGTCTTTGCACATCTGATAGGTTCTTAATTTTCTATATGAATATGTTTGCAGGTTGTCAAGGCTTTTGTGCTAGGTTGGTTTATGGATAATTCTTTACCTGAATATCCCTTGCCCTAAGCTTTCTCCTCCGCTGTGTATGAATTTCAACAGTGGTTTTGCATTGCTATTTTAGGCATTTTCATTCTCGGTTCCATATCTCTCAATTTCTCTAAGAACCTCTCTTTTTGTTTCCGCATCAGCATCAATCCATACAAATCCATTTATTGCTAATGCAATCCTAAAACTTCTATTTTTTGACAGTTTCTGTAGAACGTTGTTAAAGTAGAGTAGCCGGATCTTCCAGCTTTCAATAGGAAAACATTCATCAATTGCACCAAGTCCTTCTTTTTTGCACGAAAGCAAGGCATCTCCATCTGAAACTCTTTCCACCTGGCAAAGAACCGTATTTTCCTTCTCAAGCTCTGGCCTGTTCCGCTTAGTTGCATTTGCAAAGCTTAGGGCAGGGAGTATTCCAGTGCACGATCCTAGATCTACTTTGTAGTAGTCCTGAGAAGCATAAACGACCCTTCCAATGACAACATCGTACTGCTTTGGAACGTAAATTTTAGTCTTTGCCATGATGAAGTATAGATCCTCAACTTTACACAGTGTTCCTATGATCACGGCCCTGCCCTCCACAATTCCATAACACTTAAATCCTTTTTCTGGAATGTGGTCTCCCGGAAAGACATGTCTTATTCTTTCTATTTTCATGGGTGAATCACATTTTCCACTTTAGTCGAAACATCCAAAAGTAAAACATCACAATTAACTGAGATGTATGAGGCCTCCAGTTATATTGCTGTCCCATCATGATGAAGTCTGCCCTGCGATCCTTAATCAATTAGCTGGATAAATCGAAGCTCATTTTTGTCTATAAAAATTTTCAGAGCCGAATGTTCAAATACAAAATAGAAAAGACATCTTTGAAGAGCGAATTATGGCAATCTACTGTTCAGAAGACATTTACGTGGGTCTTGGCAGAAAATTCATCAACTTCTCATCACAGAAGATACTTTGCATTCATGACAAATGCATTCGTTCCATTTCTGGAAATTCAGATTATATCGGATGCTGCAGCTATGATGGAACTGCCACCGTCTTTACAAGAAATGAAAAGTTAGTGGATAAGATAGAAGGCCCTGATACTGAAATAAAAGGGATTGCATTCTACGATAACTTCATAGCCATAACAACAAGAGGCAAAACTACATGGATTTTGGAGGACTTTGAAATATCAAAAATACTGGAAGATCATACACAAGACGTCAAGGGATGCGCGTTCCATAATAAAAGACTTTATACCTGGTCATATGACAACACAATCAAGGTATATGATCTGTTTGATATCGATCACTCCTGGGAACTGTCTCAGTCCATTGACTTGGATGATATTGTCTGGTCAGTAATATTCTTCCAGGAGTATATGTGCGCCACCCTCCAAAACGGATGTATAGTCGTCATGGAAATGAAAGAATCACTGTGGATGCCGTATACGACTGTCAGGGGATCGCTAACTCCAATCTATTGCGGCACTGTCGTTTCTAAGAACGAGTGTAATTATCTCTGCGTTGTCTGCAACAGAAACTGTTTGCTAATATTGGACTACACATTTGGCAAAAGTGCTAGAAATTCCAGACCTAAACGATGGATGCGAAATATTCTCCTGTGGAGTCTATTGCAACTCAATTGTTTTAGGATCTGAGGATGGAACTCTAACCAAAGTGACAATTCAATATGAATCATAGATCGTGTTAAAAACCTATGGATGATTTGTTGTTTAGTTCAAATGCACATTGCCCAACTAAGAGTAAGCATCAGGCAATAAACTGCGAGGATTACTGGTGGATTAAAAAGACAAATTTTACCTACGTGGTTTGCTATGGAGACAAAGTTTAAACAAAGAACATTTAATAACCAGAGTCGCTTACACAGCCATATCAATACCTGTTATATTTCTACATTAAGCTTTTGTCAACGATTTTTTCAAGGTCCTCGGCATTTTCTCTTTCAAGGCAAAAGTCTTCAACATGTTTGAGAAAATCATACTTTGAAATCTTTAAGTTTTTTCTAACAGGAAACGACCCTGTCCAAGTAGAATAAATATCAATCAGGCATTCTATTTCTTTGAGAACATCTGAAGAGCTACTGTAGCTGTTGGTGTATTTGTATTTTCTTCCTATTTCAAGTAGTAATTTAAATCCCTTGCCTGATCTGAGAAAATTCTTCGTAATATCTCTTTCATTGTATCTCTTCTTGGTGTTATCTTCCGTTACTGGCAGTTGTTTTGAAGCCTCTTCCTCCACTGTTTGTGCCTTTGCCATATGTGGGCGGAGATGCCCATAGAAGAAGTTGAGCATTTACTCTAGCATGCCTTTAGTATTATAGCGTTAAGCCACAAATTTATAAGTCTTGCAGAGGGATTTATTAGGCCATTGGCTGATGTTCTTTTAATTAAAATGGCACCTTGACCAAGAATCTAAGTCAAACAGCACACTAAGTCAGCAGTGATGGTATTGGCCATCTTTAATAACGCCTTAGTTGCTAGTCCATCAGATCATATGAAATGCGATTGGCTGTGCTGAATGGAATTAAAACGCCAAAGGTATGTATCTAAAGATATCGCGATTCAAAACTATCCTAATGACACTCTTGACTGCTTTGTAAAAATTTTTAAACTTGGTGGGAAAATTAAACATAATCTGATAAGTGGCAAATAGAAATGTGCCAAATGTATTTAAAAGCTACGCGGAGAGTGTACAGGATATTTGCACAGCCCCCATCCTAATTTTAAATTTTTTGCATTTATTTTTTTCTTTGTTTGTATATTCAAAAAATTTTTTGCCCTCATGTCTGGCACAGACAAGAAACCAACTTTACGTAAGAGTAGTATTCTAGGCATCAATAAAGTACCAGAGAAGACAACCGTTCTCTCAATTGCCCAGGCGCTCAGTTCCTTTGCATCCAGTATAACGAACATTTCCATTGAGACGTCTCGTTTTGGACATAGAAATGTTCTGATCACTTTTGACAGTGTTGAAGCATGCGAGAAGGCAAAGGGTCTTGGAAACATTAAACTTGAGGAGCAGATCTGCGACCTCTTCTTTGCACAAACACGCAATAGCTCGCCTAGTCTATCTGCATCAACAACTAAACTCTATGTGAAGCATCCACCAGCTGCTAATTGCGAGGAAATTGTTAAAATGCTCGGAGACGTTTCAATTAAAAAGCCCGAGGGAGCCAAGGGCTACTTCTTTGTTACATGCAAGGATATCGATCAACAATGTGAGATTGTTAAAAATTTCAATAATAAGAAAGTTAGCGGCGGCGCACTAGTCGTCAAAGTTGCCATTGACAAGACTGTTAAGAGGCCCATGCGCAACAACAAGCCTGTTACTGCTGAATGAATTATCTTATGATTTATGTGGCTTCTTTGTTTTTTGTTTAATATTATGAATAGATGCATGCATTATTCAATTTGGTATATTTCTTGATTGTAAAACAGCTAACTAAGCATCAAAGTGTTGTTTTTCGGAATCTAAACTCCCAAAGATATGGCCAATGGCTATTTGCAGATATTTACAGCAAAGCTCCTATCTTCAGGAGGCATTTCTTTGGCATTAAAGAATACGGCGTGCTAGGTGTCATTTTGGTAACTGGAAGCATCTGTTTTTCTTCCCCAGAATACTATGCTGCCATTCAAAACTGGATTGATTCTTCATTCAAAGTCCAAAAAGGATCTGAAACTGGCAGAAGCTCATCAAATTTATTGTTTTGAACACCACTTTGCAATTGATCCGAGCATGCAATTCATTTACTCCACAGAAAGCGGAATTTCAGTTTACAGTTCAAATCCGATAAGTCTTGTCAGACGAGTGGACTACAGAAGAGAAATAAAGGACATGTCAGCTGGAAGAGACCATCTATATATTTTGAACGACGATTCTCTTGTTTTGTATTCAAAGAACGGATTCAATGTGCTGTCTAAGAACTTTACAAACTGTACGGTAAAAGCTATTGGCGATGATCTAATTGGAGTCCAAAGCAGGTCTGATTTGGCCATCTACAATCATGCCTTTGTTTGCAAAGCTATTTTGAACTGCCAATGCTCATTCTATTGCCGTGACATTCTTCTTTTGGGCGATATGAATATTGTTAAAGTATATATCAAAGGTAACAAGGCATTTGAAGTCTCTATGCCCGACTATATCACATGTTTGATTACTGATCCACTCTTTTCGAGGATATACTGCGCAACACAGGATAGCAATATTCACGTTTTTGACCTCAACGGCTTACCGTTGAAAACGCTCGAATACCATACAAAGCCAGTAAGACAAATGAAGCTCAGTTTCTGCGGCCAATATTTGTACTCCTCTGATGGTGGGAGGATTTGTGTATGGAACATTACGGACTGCATTGCCAGGGGTTATGTCGATGTAGAGGAAACTGTTGAATCTTTTGAAACACTTCTTGTTGATGACTTTGAGTATGATATGGATAGAACATTGGTGTAGGTCGTACTTTTATCTAAATTGAAAACCCAATCGCATATGATGAAGCTTGAGGTGTCGATCAAAGAGCCTCCTACTGCACCACGGCCAATGTTGATTTGCAAATATATAGAACGCATTTATAATTACACTACAATTTATTTTACGATCATTTTTTGATTTATTTCTATTTAAAGGCAAAAACTCTTCTTCTTTTTAAATATTGACGTTAGTACATTCTTGGGCTTTGTCTTTACATCGGTATTGTAATATAAAACCCTACTTAAATACTCAAAAACCTCGTTTACACTTTCGCCTGTCTTCGCACTCGTAAAGAAGTACTTAAATTTATTTTTAGCTGCAAAATCTTGAAGGAAGCCTCTTTCCTCCTCTAAAGCCTCTCCTTCTAAGCAATCTATTTTATTTCCAACAAGAACGGTAAACTTTGGGTTGAGGATGCTCGAAAGTTCGGCAATCAGATTTTTCATTCCTGAAAATGTCCTGCTTATGTTCACGTCGTATACAAAAATAAAGCCGTCAGCATCTCTGTAAAGCTGGGAAACTATCGACTTGAATCTCTCCTGTCCTGCCGTGTCCCACATTTGCAAGTGCACTGGATTTCCATCCACCAAAACCTCCTTGAAATCATTACTGATGGCTATTGTATTTGCAATAGCCTCCTTAAACTCATCCCTCAAGTATCTGATAAACAAGCTGGACTTCCCCACGTTTGTGTCGCCCAGAATAACAATTTTAAAAGTTTTGGGAACATTTTTTGAGAGTTCGCTTGTTTTTCTTGATGAACTGCCCATCGGGGTTATTCTGAAGAGCTTGACAAAACATAGTGCAATAAAGGACCGATCAGGTGTCTAGAGCTGAAAGTTTGGCACAAAGTACAAGGTCTATATAGTCAAAAGACTGCAGAGTGTGGATACAGACAGCAGCCTCCCCAACAAGTTATTAAAATGAACCAATCTTTTTGCTAAAATATGCATGCAATAATAGCCATTTATTTAAACCAATCTCTATAACTTCTGTGATGCGACTGTTTAGATATTAGAAGCATTTTCTGATACAAATGCGATCTGCGATATAATTAGCATAGATAAAACCAGTGATAAAATGAAAAATGCAATGACTATTGGCCAGATATTCGTTGGCTGATTGACAAAATTCTTGAAGATGGTAGATGCTATTGAAAGCCCAACTAAGAAAACTAACACTGTAACCACTGCATATGAAGCATATACAAGGATACTTATCAACGAAAACTTGTCTGATGCTGGCTTCTGAACTGTTAATAGCATTGACCCCTCGTCAAAAGAAAGATTAGTGTCTTTAGCAGGCGACACAAGGCTAGAGATAGTGCTATCAAATTTCGATGAATTGAGTAAAAATCTTTCCTTTTCAATTTTAATAACACACACCTCTCTTTGGCACAAGTAGTTAATAGGTATTTTCATGGGAGATTCCACGTCAACCACAAATCTCTTTTCAACTGGATGTGTCCTGAAGGTTGAAAAATTCCAGGTGAGGTTGAGCAGCGGCATTTTTCTTCCGGCAAGATTCGTAAATTGGCAGACGAGGGGGAAAATCCAGCCATTGACTGAAATGCAAATTAGTTTTCCTGAGCTGCAGATAAAGTAGGCCGACTTTAAACTGTCATCAGACATTTTGCTGCGAATACTGTAGAACTCAAGCTTACTCTCCACTGCTTTTTGATTATCAACATCAATGCTGTTTTTAATTTCTGAAAATACATCGAACAAATGCTTCGCTGTCTTCTTACAAATGGTGCAGCTTGTTTGCTCTTTCATCAACCATGCAGAGCTAATCAACAAGGAAATCTCTAGCCCATCACCTTCACACTGCGCTTTCGAATGGATCACTGCCTTCTTTCCATCTACTTTCCTTGATATCTTTACAAAGGCTGGCTCATAGCTAGCATCAATGCTCTTTTTTATAGAGTCAAATATACAGCATTTTGGTGGTACTTCTATCCTCGTAAATCCCGGAATGTGGTTCATATGGCCTATCACGAAATTGAAAGGCCAGTTAGCAAGTAATATAATAACGGCTGTACTCAAAAACAAGAATCCAACGTTTTTCCAGATAAGCCTCATGGTCCAAGCCAAGAATCAGAATAAAAAGGGAAAAGGGAGATAAGGGGTATAAATCGATGTCCAACTTGGTCGCACGAATTTGAATTGCGAAAGGGCGTTCGGAATGACACAACTATGATTGAAATATGCACTGTGATTCAAGGGTTAGAAAAGAAGGTACATCAAATGCTAGATTTAATAAAGACCAATTTTGGATTGAATTTAATTAATTTACAGCGTTGGGGCACCTCATCACTACTGGAATATTTCATGTTTTTCTCCGCTTTGGATCCTTCTAATATCCTGGAAAGTTTGTCATATCCATAAACTGCTTTGTTTATAATTGGGCTTTAATTGCCTCTTGCATTTTCCAACCACTCGTGGAAATAATACGTGGAGCAGTCTCATTTGAAGCAGCAGATTAAACGCTCAGAGATACTGAGTTTACTAAGCGGGGCTTTATCCTTAGGCTTAACACGCGCACTAGTCTATTTCCAAGCTTTCTAGATTTGAGCTATGCTGAAGAGTAAATGTAAGTCCAAATTAGAGGTGCCACTATTAGTGTTCTATGCCAAGGAAGCAGGAGTAATCTTCCGCCTGAATTACTAACTCATGCACACACGAACCTTTCTGCATAAATGGCTGTTTTCTGATATAAATTGTTGGTTAACATCTTTACTTTATGTCTGTTGAACGAAGACTCTTAGTAATGGCGACGAACAGCATCGGAAAATCCTACAAATATAATAGAAACGCAAGATATAATGAAGTACAAAACTTAAATATGCAAATTTTTGAAAACTACATAAAGCATCTCAATAGTCCAAACAAACAGCTATGTAAAATAATAGTAAAAATACGTCACTCTTCCTTAAATACTTTAATCTTTAAAGCTGAATCCAGCAGGGAGCGGCGTAATAATACTGTGGAAATGGTCTGCTATCTTTTTAAGCATGTCAGCCTCCTGTGAATTCAGAATATGCAATGCAATACCTTTTCTTCCGTACCTTCCAGACCTTCCCACCCGATGAATAAAATCGTTTTTCTCGTCAAGATTCGGAACATCAAGGCACACCACAACTGAAAGCGCCTGCACATCAATACCCCTCTTACAAAGACCAGAAGAAACAAGAATTCTAGTCTTTCCACTTTTAAAATTGTTCAAAATTTGATTTCTCTCCTCCTGTGAAAAATCAGAGGTGATAAGCTCGCATGGGAATCCATTCTCATTGAGAGTCTTATGAATTAGAGCTGCATGGGACTTCCTGTTGTAAAAGACCATGGCCTGGGAGAGCACCTGGTTCTTGAAAATGTCCATCAAGGTGTGAGCCTTAAGAATTACTTCCTGGTCTCTTGCAGTTGGCGAATACCCCCTTGCCAGTGACGGCCCAATGTCTACAAAGTACTGTTTGATACCCTTCAATGTTTGGTCCTCATATCTCAGATCTATTTCAACTGGCTCTTCCACCATGTTTTTAATAACGTTGAGGTCTTGTTCAGAATAGGTGGCAGAAAAAAGAAGAGACTGAAATGACTCGGCCTTGATTGAAACAAAGATATTCTTGACCTGTTCCTCAAAGCCCGCCTTGAGCATTTCGTCTGCTTCGTCTAAGACAAATATTTTAATCTGCGAGGTCTTGAGATGTCCGCCTTCGATCATTGAGTTAACTCTTCCTGGTGTGCCTACGACCACTTGAGGACTTTCAGACAGCGCCGAAATATCAGCGAGCGGCGAGGTACCACCTGCAAGAAGACATACTGACACTTTCATGTATCTTCCTATTTCCTGAAACTTGGCTGCATTCTGTCCTGCTATTTCCCTTGTAGATGCTAACACAAGTACTTGGGTTCCTTAAGAGACTCGTCGATTCGCTGCAGCGCTCCAATTACAAAGGCACCGGTTTTTCCAGTTCCAGATTGTGCCTGTGCTCTCAGATCTTTCCCTTCTGCAATGATGGGAACAGCTTTCTTTTGAATAAATGATGGATTCTCGAAACCAACGCTGTATATTCCTTTGACAAGCTCTGGTTTGAGATTGAGAGACTCCCATTTAAAGTGCGGGTCTGAAGGAGTGGTGTTCTCTATAATGTGTTTTATTTCATCCGACTCGTCGTCGAACACAACTTTTCTTGAAGTTTTTGCTTCTGCCATAGGGGTGTAAATTTTTTGAAATTTTAACTCTGTGAAAAAAAAAGAAATAAAGAAAACATCTTGAAAGTCTAAAGTCTACGAAGATGCACGTTGAATATGCAATATTCCACTGCTGTGGTCTTCTTGCCATTTCAAATACGGGGCTTGGGTCCATAAATACCATTGCTGCACAGTCTAATATTACAAAAATTTTTAGCAAAATTTATTCTTGAGAGGATAAATCTAAGTTCCTTTGCATTTACAATATCTAGTTAGTAAAATGCACTATAGATGGCTTGTTCGAAAATGTCGTATGAGAAGCAGACTGGGATGGCATATAGCATTTTGAATATAACACTCATCCAAAAAGGAGTATGCCCATCTGAGCTATTGTTCTTATCTAGGGCATGTGCAGAATGTTTGCTTTTTGAAATTCATCTTCCCTGCCGTCCTAAATGGAAAACACACTTGAAGAGAAAAAGCAAAAAATTCTTAAAAGATTGGAGAATACCATTGAGTCTTCAAACTGCATTCTTTACGAAATAAACCAAGAACTGCAGAATATTGTGGAGAACAACAGAGTTCTAGAACAGACTGCAGACATATATAACACGTGGAGTAGCAAGGGGATGTAAAGACTGTATTTGCCACATTTTCAGTATGTAAATGCCAAAGCACAAGTATAATCCCTTGCATCAAATAAACCATGGTTTACACAATATTGTTAATTTGCATTCTTGTGACTGTTTACAAATAAATGAAAACATTTGCTGGGGCTTACGTTAACTTGCTGAAAACCAGCATCGGGAGTGGTGTGTTGAGCTTTCCCTATCTTTTTAAAACATATGGAATCGTAGTAACTGTTTTCCTCACGCTTATCACCGGGCTGTTTGCCACCACCGGTCTTGTTCTCTTGATGATATGCTCCCAGGTAATAGGTAGAACAGCTGACCTGAGCAAGCTTGCAGCACAGTGCTTTCCATATGCCAGAATATTCGTGGACCTGGCAGTGTTCCTCAAGTGTTTTGGTGTATCTCTCTCTTACGTAATCATCACAAGACAACTACTTCCCCCGATATTAGAAAGCTTATTTGAAAGAGCCCCTGATGTAAATCCCAGTTTATTTGCATCTCCGTCCATCACTTTACTTATTTTTCTAGGATTTGTTGGCCCATTCACATACTTCTCCAAACTTGACAAATTGAAATACACATCCTTCGTGGGTATATTTAGCATTGTTCTGGTGATTCTGGCTGCTGTTGCCAGATACATCCACACAGACACCACAGATGTCAAGATAGCATTCTTTCTCCCAATCACCATCGACTGGCTTGCAGGAATGGGAAAATTCATATTCAGCTTTACCTGCCATCAGAATATCTTTGCAGTAAATGCTGAAATAGAGGATAACTCACTTCCTAAGATGAAGAAGTTAATATGCACAGTGTCTATGTCGTCATTTACGCTCTACATGACGTTTGGATGGCAAACTACATGCTTTACGGATCTACGGTTTCTGAAAATGTCTTAAAGTCATATCCATCTGATCTACTAGCCACCTTTGTTAGATCACTCTACATAGTAGTCATGGGCGTCTCCTATCCGCTACAGATGGCTCCTGCACGGACATATTTTCTAAACATGATTGGAATTACACGACAAACTAAGAAGTATAAGATGATACACTTTATTGCAACTACCCTTCTAGTCCTATCAACTTATCTCATAGCGATTTCAGGTGTCCATCTAGGAATTGTATATTCCATAGTAGGTGCCACGGCCTCTTGTTTTATGTGTCTAATACTTCCAGCACTGTTTTACTTTAACTTAGACATTGAAAAGACATTGTCACTTATGGTAGCTGCCTATTTTTCGTTCCTCCTTGGAATTTTTATATTCACAACAACAATATTCGCAATAGTTTACAACGAAATAAAGTAGCGGATACTAATATGCAGCCACTGCTTTGTGCATTTAGCACCATGCATCTGCAAACGACGCCTTTCCGTTAATACCTAAGGCCAGCGCCTTCTACTAACTTTAAATTATAGCATTTGGACATTTCGCATCAAAAGTTTAATAAAGATATTGAACAATGACTATGGTCAATCTTTTATTATTAGTCATCTATTTAAGGTTTGCCTCGTATTTTCTGATCAAAACCTGTTGTGCAGATTGTAGATCTCCATTGACACTCTTCAATACCTCAATATTCTCTTTTACATCTTCAAAGCCAATGTTTTTCAATTCAAGTAGCTGCTTTCTATACTCCACCAGGTAATTCACTGCGTTTTTGCCTGGAATGGCCTTATTATTCTTGGATGTCAGGGTCTGTCCCCCTTTCAACTCCCCGGGAGACGGCTTAATCATCCCAAGATTGCCAGTATCCTTGGCCAGGGAACTCATAAGTCTAACTCCGTCGGGTAGGTTCTGTAGCTTGGCCATAGTTATGTCAGCATTTCTCATTTGTGTGTTCATATAGTCATCGTCTGCTGCAAATCTTTCCAGCTCATCCTCCATCCCCTCATTGTTCATAAGCATGTTCAAGGAGGAATTTTCCTCTATTTCGCTTTTCAGATCAGGAAACATTTCCTGAATCGTTTTGATAGCGGATGGATTCTTCAGCATATTTTTAACCATAGGATTGTTCTTGATGAGCGAGCTCAGACCACCACTCTTTGCCGTGCCATTCACTCTACGAATCCTCTTCACTACCACTATGGAACCGTCCTTTAGTCCGATCTCAACTATAGTCTTGGTAGATACTCCGATATTTCTACTTTCAACAGTGAGGGACTGTTGATCGACAGGAATAGAAAGACTCTCTTCAACTTTATTTTTTAGATTGTCTACTGTGGCATGCTCCTCTATCTCTATTTCCTTCTCAGTCGCCAAAAACTGAAGTCTTAGTCTTATAATTGAAGACATGTAGGGTCTGAAACAGGGGAGTGTTTTTAAATACAAAGTCAAGCCAATCAGATGAGCCAATCATATTAAAGGAGAACATGTAGTATGAAACGTGCTTGCCACTAATTCTAGGTGCAGTCGCATAGTGGAAATGAGGCACAATAGCCAACCAACTATGTGAAAGACTAATGGCCAGTGAAATGTATGCGAAATGCTTGTCTCTGATCTGTTGTTTTTAAGTCTACAGAAAAGTTAACTTTTCACTGGAACGGACCTCAGGTCTGTTCCAATCAGTATGGTGGTGTACCTATCATTCTAAGCTAGATTCAACATCATTGATGTATAGTTATTAGTAACATTAGCTATCCTATCAAGGATTGGGTTTCTCGTCCTCTGAGCCGGTATGGTCCAGTGGTAAGATATCTGTTTCGGGTACAGGTGACCCGGGTTCGATCCCCGGTTCCGGCCTTTTTTCTGCGCATTTGACCATTCCCCCACTCTTCTGCCCCTGCATGGCTGACAAAGGCGATGAGAAGCTCAACAAAGAAGGTACCAAAAAAGGCAAGGTTCGTGAACTAGCCAAAAGATTAGGAAACAAACTTGAGCCATCAAACATGCTTAACCTAAAATACATAGACCAGAACTTTCATATGCGAAGAGAGATGAAGCTTTACGAAAAGAAAACTCAGGAAAAGGAAAAAAAGAGCAACAAATGATGTGGTCGGTAAGCAATAAATTTCGTCGAAAAGTTAAGTGTGGCATCGCTGATGATTTAGTGTGAATATTGGTCTTGTATTAAAGATAGCTGGCCGATATAAGCTCAAGTTATAAAGCTTAAAGAGTAGGCGCGATGCAGACAGACATCTAGCTCAGAAAAACAAAAGTACCATACTGGCTAAAGCGATTTTTAATATTGATGTGTATTATTCAGCTATCCATGCTTCAAGCTGATTCTCAAACTCTGATATCTTATTGGCATCAACAGCATTCACATTCAACCTATTTCTCTGCTCTTCGATATAGCTCTTCCTCTTTGAAATGTACTTTATCAGATCTACTGCAATCTCCTTATATATCCCAACCTTACATTGAGACTTAAGCTCGTTACAAACAACCGTAGCAAACTCGGGGAATCCAATGCTATTTCCAAATGTGTGGCAGTGTCTCTTTATGAGGACAAGACACTCCTTAATCACGAACATTTGCAGCTCTTCACTTTCTGTCTCATCTGAGGACACTCTGACATGGTCGTAGTTCATTTGTTGTCCTATTTTCTTTAAGTTTTTAATGTTCATAGCCATGGACATAAGTTTGGTCAGATAAAAGGACACTGGAACAAAAAATTTTGAATAACAGAGTGCTTTGAGGCAGCGAAGAATTAAGATGCTGGTCTTCATTGAAATAACATTGTCTATAAAAGGAATGAGAATTGAGATAAATGCATTGAAATCAGCTGGCTTCTTTATCGCTTTTGAGAGAAGCTCAACATAAAATACAAGAAGGGCCTTTTCATAGTTTGGATCCGACACAAGGGTCTTAAACGATTGGATTTCGTCTGTGAAGTCTTTGGTTGATTTAATGTATTGTTCTATCCGGCTTTGAAGACTTTCTGGGGTGGATTGGAAGAGTTCATTGATTTTCGACATGTCTCTGCTTTTTGAGGGGTCTCAAAATGAGAAGTTTAACAGAAGTTCTAAAAGATGTTTGCATGCATGGCCATTACGTGTCGATCATAGACGGCTGTTTTGGTTTATGACTCATTTTTAGAATTAGTTTCTGTTACAATACAGACTGGAACAGTTTGGAAAAAGGAGATATTTTTTATTTTAACGTAATCCCATATAATCAGCTAACTATGTCACACCAACAACTGAATGTCGAAATATCGGCTATTGATTTAAAAGACTTAAAGCTTTCAGACCCCTACACTAAACTACAGCTGCTAGAATGTTTAAAAGCATTCTTACATAGCATCCCCGGAGTGAACCACGTTATTTATCTTGTTGACCGTGGTGTTGATATATCCAAGCATTTAAATGCATCTTCAACATTCTGTCTCGATGAACTGCCTGCAAGTACATCTAATACAGAACAAGTGTTTTCAATCATTCAATATCCTCGTGGCTTGGCGTTTAATTCAATACTAAAGTCAAATACGCTAGAAGCTAACGACCTAAAATATCATAATGTGGAGCTGCTGGATGCAAATCTCAATTCCATTGATTTTAAAAGCCAAGCAAGTATGGAGAGCTTAGCCTACGACTGCTTTCCCTTACTTTGTCCCTTTGCCATAGCATGCTTCAGTATATGTATTCTATATATATTTTACAAGTTTATCGCATTAGTCTTAAAATTCAATAAGTCTGGAGAAAAGAGTAAAGGACCTTCGAAATTTGAAAAAAGCCTTGGTACAGTCTGCAACATTGCTTCGTTTTCAGGACTTTTTGATTGTGTATACTTTATCTCGCTCTTGCTTACCGCTTACTACTATAATAGCATAAATTTCTATGATCAAGGTGTAAGTATATTTGTGAGGTATTTCACAAACAGACTTGTCTTGGGGCTGCTATCCTCATACATACTGCTAAACTTAAAAAGAAAGGAATTTAGCTACAAGTGGTTTATGATAGGATCAGGTGTGACGATCCTGGCAAAAATGTTCACCATAGGGTATCTATCAAAAATTTACATACTCCTAAATGTCATCAATACTGCTCAGATCTCCATTATGGCCGGGATTTCTGCATTATGCTACTTGCTTTACTTCGTTGGGTTTTTGATTACTAACGGCAGGGACGAAATACAGAGTATGCGAAAGCTACCCTCTGCACAGAGATATGAGGAAAATAAAAAAGAGGGGTTTGTTGAAGGAATGTACATGGAGAATGCAGGCGTCAAGTAAGCCATACAGCATTTGGCTGGAGTGGCAATTGGTGGAATGAGGGAATGCTGGTGCTTGCCCACTGTCTTTTATACATTGCATAAAGTCACTTATATCGCATCTATTTTTATTGGCTACTTTTGTGCAGATATGAACCAATCATATCAAAAGCGATTTCTAATCTATTTGTCGATGTAAAGTTCAAAAAGGGAGAAAGGAGGCTCAAATTTAAATACCAAGAGGCACTTCCCCTTATGAAAGGCATTGGTGCTGCCGTATTGTCCATGCTGACTAGATACAGGCATATTATGTTTGTGCAAGCACAGGAGCTACCAAATATAAATACGCCTGGCGGTGAAATAACGTTTAACGACTGTGCAGATCCTTACAATCAAAAGATGCCATCCAGTGACTTGCAAGTATCGTCACTTGAATTTGAAATAGTTGATAAATATGGTGACGATGACGATCCGAATTGCAAGTATGATACTATATGTAAGAATATAGACATGAAGGATTTTAAAATGGCTGATGGAAAAGCGGTTTTCTACACTGAGCTTGGCAAAAAAGCCGCTGGCACCGGCAGCTTGAAGATAGAAAGATCAACGGCAGATGCATTGCGCGAATTCATGAATCAGATATCACAAAAACGCGGCGAAAATGGCTTTATGGTGATGGAACATACGCATATGGGGCCATGCATACTTTGCAAACGAAATGGAAATATCCTCGAAGCCCTGGGCATTGAATTGAGAGAGGGCAAATATTGTCTGAGGGCAAGTGCCTCTAATGGTAAGAACGAGTGCATTATCGTGTATGCACATTGTATTGTGAACCAAAACACCAAAATAAAAGTTTGTCCAATGGATATGCTTGGTCTTAGCGATGCTGACAAAAAGACACTAAAAGACTCAATGAATATCGAGATTATGACAGGCGCACACCAGCCTGAGGAGAAAAATGGTGTCAATGAGTTTCTTGACTCAATTGTGGATGGAATTACAACTACTATCAATGACTCTAACGCTGAGGAGACGAAAGGATCCATTGATGAAAGCAGTGATGCTACATTTTCTAGCGAGCCTGATGTCGCTAACGTATATGACTAGAAATAAACTTTTTGGAAAACGTATTTAATATTTATAGTTAGTCTTCCTCTCCGTAATCATCCTCGATTGCAAAGTCAGACTGTATTTTATTTTCAATTTGCTTGCACTTCACATTGAGGCATTCTGTCGCCACTCCCTGTTTAAATGTCTTCAGTTCCTTTTCTGCTTGTTTCTTCTCGTCCTCCAAAAAATCTGCCAGGAACTTCAATCGGCTTTGGATTCCCAGTTCTTCCTTGTAAGATTTAATGTACTTTGATGCATTTAGCATTTCCCTGCCATTGTAAGCGTGTTCTTTGAGATAAGTCAAGCATTTCTGAACTTCCTTTTCAGTTTCGTGTATGGTCTCAAAAGTTTCTTTAAAAACCATGGACTGCTCGGAAGCTGTATTTAAAAAATAATTAAAGTGGCTGATGGAAATTAATAGCCTGACGATGAATGGCAAACAAGAGTAGAATAACGCATGACGTACTACTTAATCAGACATAAAGTGGTATGCCTATTTTTTCTTTTCTTGGAAGCGAGATTAGCTCAGTGGAAGAGCACCAGACTGAAGATCTGTAGGTCCTGGGTTCGACTCCCAGATCTCGCAACCGCTTCTTTTAAATAAACTATTACAAATAGCCCAAAAAAGTAACAAAACTGTGCCATTTACGGCTGCTTCTGCAATAGTCCTGAAAAATAATTCATTTTTGTGTTTGGTAGTTGGATTGTCTTGTCTACGTTTTTTCTTTGCTGAATAGCTTTTCGATATACTCATTTTGAACTTTTACCACCTCTGCACCATCCTTGCACTTACTATACAGCTCCAAAACTTCCTCATTCAGCCTGAAGAACTCTTCCGCATAACTAAATCCCTCAAACATGCTTCTTGCCTCTTCTTTCTCTCCAATTATATACAGACTTGCTGCCAGTGCCTCAACACAATTTAATTTCCAAGGTCTGCCGTAGTTTATCGTATTTGAAGCCACCAGCCAGGGAAGGAGTCTATTATTCCTTTTTGGCAACTTGGAGAAGTCAAAGCTATCTATCTGGTTCCAGGAACAGTCTATCAGCCCAATGCCAAACCTCGCTATGTGGTCTCTATCTGCCGGAGAAATGGTGCACTTGCCATCTGGTGAGAGCACTATGCCATTAAAGTGGCTTTTGATGGGAATCGAGCTTATCTTCTTGTTTTTAACCAGCCTGTGACCGCTACATTTCTTTGGATCACACTGTCCGAATTCGTAGATGACTTTTCTCATTCAACCAAGTTTGTTCTGGTATGGGCGAAAAGAGCAATAGACAAGATAAAACAGCCTTCTTGATTCACAAATTTACTGCACAATCACTCACAGGCCCGTGCAGTACTAAATGTTGAATGATCACAACAAAAGCTCATCCATATTTCTTACTAAGTTTGTCCTCTTCATTTTCCTAATAGATTTTTACTACTTCTCTTACTTTTCGGATAGTAAATTGGTCCAATAAGGCCAACTAAATATAAAATGCCCTAGACACGTAGAGCCACTAAACTGATGTCGCTGTTAGTAGAAACACACCTCTTTAAAAGTGCTGTATTGATAGATGGAAATATGCTAGTTTCCAAGTTGAATACAATCCAAAGACAGGAGCAACTTAAGGCGATTTGGTTACATGCCTACTTTAGCAAACGTAATCTTCCATCCATACTTGTAGTACACCAACAGATATTTTAGCTCAACAACTATTTATTCCAAATCATCAACTCTATATGCAGCTTGGTCAACTAATTATGATATTACCTGTCCGATAATGAATTCCTACAAAAGCATTCCTCTTCGAGCCAATGAATAAGTAATGCCGGTTTTTTGATCAACCTTTCTAACCTTTATGGTAGAGATTAAGATGAAAATTTTTAAGAAAACACAAGCTTTGAGAAAGAAAAACAAACCCAATTCATTGGCTGATCAAGCGCATATATGTTAGACCAAAACGATATTTCTCTTTCCCCGCTGAAAGTCTGGTCTTTGCCCTTGGTATCCTCATAAACCAGGCAGATATATAAAGCTGTAAAAGCGGTCAGAAGTGCATATCCAATAAATACTGGTGTGTGCATTTGTTGAGGACTGCCAAGTGGAATAAATACAGAAACAACAGCAACAACTCTATTTACAGTCAATCCTAGGAATGTGCCCGCCACTCTGTAATCTTCCGGGAAAATAAAGCCTAAAACATAAAATGGGCAGTGGCTAAGACCGAGGTTATATCCAATAGAAAAGATATATGTAAAGATCCGAACTTGAAAGCTAAAGAAAAAGGCAATACATGATATTACTATTAGAGCAGATGACAGGACGACGGCAGGCTTTATATCCCAACTTTTAAATATCAAACTGGATATCAACAAACAACCCACACTAAGAAGGAGAGTGTAGATAACATGGTTTTGGTAGTTATCCTCCCCATAGAAAATCTTTGGATTTGAAAAAATTTGATTGATGCCACACAAATTAAAAGTAGTGTATAAAAGAACAATGATGGAAATAGAGCGGAATGAGTCGCGAGCTTTGATGAGAGATCTCAATGTTTCGTTGTTTTCAGTTTTCTCTTTTGAAGACTATGCACATATACAAAAAAACAGGAAGGATAAAACATAAGACTGCCATAGAAATCATCGACCAGAAGTAGTACTTAACAATGAATGAATACAACAGATTGAAGACTAGAATGCCCGAAGCAAACCCACACACATTCAGGGCTGAAAAGAATGGTTTAAAAGAAGTTGGGGACAGCTCGCAGAGGTAGGTTGGAAGATAGCTGACAATGATTCCAGCAGCAAATCCGATAAGAAACCTACCGATGAGTATAGCAATAAGATTTTGGTAGAAAGCAGAACAAAGAAGACCCACAGCGAAGGAGTAGCTGGTTACAATAAAGGCTCTTCTAAATTTGCACTGGAATATGTAAAAGAATATATGGGATATTGTGGCACCGGTGAACAGAACTCCAAAGCATAGGGCAAGGAATTTGCTTTCCTCCATACCAAAATTGGCCATGCTACTTGCACTGATCGCCTGTACAGTTAAAACACTAGCACCGTACATGAATTCCAGGAGTGTAGGAGTGATAGCGGAGTATACGTCTTTAAACCTCAATGGCCGTTTTTTATCACTAATATCGCTAAGCTTATCAAATCGTTGCATAAATGAGCGAATTGGCCATAAAATCCATTGAAAAAATACTACACAGCAGCTGCACAGTCCCCAGAATGCTAGCATAACATTTTCTGTCTGACACATTCGTATCAGCTTCAGCATTTAGTTCTTGCTTATTGGTTCCATTGCCCTGACAGTAGACCGGTCCATCTCCGTCAAGAAATGATTCGTCTTCCTTTGGATCACCATTTTCATCCTTGTGTTTAGGTTGTTTCTGCTCAAGTGTGCAATATTCTAATGGATCGCTTTCTTCACGTTTATTTTCTCCATATTGATCTGTCAAAGGTTGTGACGTTGAATGCTCAAGAGTCGGATAGGCTGATGATGAGACTGCACTTGACCATATTCCATACATAAGCACTTGTGCTCTGTGAATCGCCTGCAGTGATCTGATGATGCCATACTTTTGAGTAGTTTTCATGGGCGATCGCAAGAACAAAATTTTTATAAAAATTTGCACTGTGATATCAAAGCGATGATTGCCACTTGAATGCTATCGCAGATAAGATGTGTAAAATGCGGTTGCTTCAGGATTATAAAACACCGATAGGCTATTCCAATACGGCAGTCATTGTGGATGTTTGATGAATCGTGTCACTACTCAAATTTGAATGAAACTGATTTGATGTCATCAGCAGCACGTATTTGAAGGCCAATTTAAAAATTGCATCTCGAAATTAAACCAAACAAGACAAGATCCAAATGTAGCATGCTCATAAAACTAAGATCACAAAGATAAAATGGTGCTTTTAAGACCTAGCTTTAAATTTTATAAATTTACCAAATGATCGAGAACATACTTTCTGAGTAATCTGCACGTCACCATTTAGAATTGCCATTCTTTTCAATGTATAGATGCCTAAGATTTCCCAATATTGTTCCCAAGTGCTCGTAGCCAACCTCGCCGTTCCTCGCAATAATCACTCTCCTGCCCGAAACAGGAAACTCTAAGTCCGATGGTGAGGACACTTCGATCAACTTGGTAAGATCAATGGTATTTATAAAAAGGTAGGCAAACGTAAGAAGAGAAGGCAAAGGCCTGTGGCTGTAAATATAGTATTAAATCCACACTTTCTGATCTTGTTTACCGCTGCCATCAACTCCTCTAATCTTTCCTGGTACTTAGTCTCAAGCTTAAAAAACTGGGAAAAGCTTCTGGTGGTACAGTTTGCCAGCCTGCGTCTTATGTCTCTGAATCGATATATCTTGTCGTTCTTCTGCGGATCATCCTGGAAGGATTCAAAAGTCTTCAGCTCGGTCCAAAATATGTTATCTTTGAAATCCGGGAACCACGAAACGTACTTTTCAAAGTCTACCAAATCGTCCAAGCAAAATATAAATGTTATCATTTCACAGAACTTGAAAAGCCCAGACAATAACTTGCATGGCATTCGAGAGTTCGCCAGTAGCTCTTTTCCACACAAAATACTATCGTGAGCACTATCAAAGTGATTGAATTGATTGTGCTTCTTCATGTACACTCTTCTCCTCTTTTCTATTTGAAGAGTTATAAAATTTTTCTCTGTTTCTTCAAAAAGAACATCAAAGTTCTTCAAAATCTCAAATTTCTTAACTAAAGACTCAAACTCGTCATCCGGAATGACCTTCATCCTGTTCAGCCAGAAAATTGACACAAATGTAAATGTATTTATGTGTATGTAGGGAATAACCTTGAGATTAAGCTGCTCTATAATTTTCAGTGCAGTAAAGTTGCTGTTGGTTGTGAGAGCAATCTTAAGAGCGTTGATGTTCTGAGAAGATGAAAAATATGACTTTAAGTGTTCTATGTTTGTTCTAATATACCCTTTGTCTCTGCAGTTTAGAAACAGCTGTTCAGACTCATGGGTTGTTTCCATAGGGTGAAAGCTATAGAAATTGGAAATAGCCAATCGAAGTGAAATTTAGCACGTAACAGTGCTACATAAACACCAACTCATATATGAAGTGCCACTTTTCCCACAGTATTCCTGTTTAGACAATAGTTAATGCACTGGCCAGAATACTAGCATGCCATGGCAAAACCATCTATAGTTTGTTTGCATTATTAAAGGCATCATGCATTCACAATCAAATGGCTATTTCAGACAACATAGTGAATAAAGGCATATAAGAACACTTTAAACAGAATAAGATCTGCTGACTGCTTGACGCAATATTCTTTGACGGCATATCTATTTGCAAAACATCTGCATTGATTGTCTACGTTTTACATTATTAAAAACTATTTGTAAGAAGTGGTGTTTCCAGAAAACAAACATTCACCAATCAATGCAAACTCTTGAAAGCTCAATAAAGCTAGAAAAGAAACTGGGTGAAGGTACATTCGGCGTAGTCTACAGAGTTCTGTGTGGGAATAAGCGATTTGCTCTAAAAATAGAAAAAACTAAGGGATCGCTGGGCAATGAGATTAAGGCTCTCAGGCATCTTTCCCATAGCTCCATACCCCCACTCCATAGCATAGGTCTTTACAAGGGATTTGCCTTTATAATTATTCCGTTGTACAAGATTTCTATGATTCAAATCATGGTCACCCAACGTGAATTCTTCAACTCAAAAGCCTTGGCTGCGATTGGTTGGAATATACTCAACGTTCTTGAGTATATTCACTCAAAAAACATTATCTACAGAGATCTAAAGCCTGAGAATATAATGCTAGGTTTTGATAGTAAGATTTATTTAGTTGATTTTGGGCTGTGCGCTATGAAAGGTAACAGCATTACAACTAGAAGGATGGTTGGGACACCAAGATATGCATCCATAGCAACACACAAAGGGCTGCCTCCTGGATTTGAGGACGATCTTGAATCTTTGTTGTATGTTCTACTATTTTTGATGACCGGTGATCTGCCTTGGATTAATGAAAAAGACATTGCGAAGATAGAAAAATCGAAGGAAAGCCTTCGGTTAGAGTACGTCATAGATATTAACGAGCACAAACAACTTTGGGTTGAATTTATGATTTCATTGCGGAAATTAGAAATTGGTGACTTCCCAAGCTACTCCAACCTCAAAGAAATACTGATAAAAATTGTAAAAGACAATGAAGGTGCGAACAGGTTTACAAAATGCTTGTCGTTATTATTTTCGTGTTGCTAAGCTGTAGCATCGATGCTGGTCTGTGCTAAGACATTAATTATGCCACCCGTTATCTCTGCAGTTCATAATCTGAGTCGGCAAGCAAATGAATAGATAGTGCATAGCTTTTATCCAAGTTGAAAATCACTCACGAATAAACTTTGGATGATTCTTTGGTTTGTTAGCCCTATGAAATTAGTTGACAAAATAAAAAACTAAAAGCAAGACAGATACTCACAAGTAGAGGACTGCCTACGGTAGAAGTTGAATTTATTCTTGAAAACACATCTGTAATATCCTCCGTGCCATCAGGAAAATCAACAGGTGGCAAAGAAGCTTGTGTTATTGTTGACAACCAATCATCGTACTTTGGACAATCAGTATGGAGTATTGTCGAAAAGATAAATGGCGATGCCAATATGCTTTTGGATATTAGTATTGATAACCCTAGTGACCTCGATGACTATTTAATAGCTGCTGACGGAACCGAAGACAAGTCAAGGCTTGGTGCAAACTACACTTTGCCGCTGAGTATCTGCTGTTACAAACTATTTTCACACTGCTTAAGCCTAAAGCTATGGAGATATATTCAATGCTTAACAGAATCTAAATACACTATTCCAACACCCTACTTTAACATTTTGAATGGTGGGGTTCATTCAGGAAACAACATCAGCTGCCAAGAGATAATGGTTGCATTTCAAGAATCCTCATTTGAAAAGAACCTTGAGCGCGCTGTAGAGCTATACTATTCATTAAGGGATGTGATCATAGAAGAGTTCGGTTTAATATTCACCTCTGTTGGTGATGAGGGTGGATTTGCACCGCCAATCAAAAATTTGGAAGAGGGCTTAAATTTGATATTGAAAAGTGCCAAGAAAGCCTCAATAACCAACTTTAGAATAGGACTTGATTTGGCTGCCAATTCATTCTATTCCGAGGTGTGTATGTGGTTGATGGTCAAAGTTTTGATGGAAAATCTCTGGCCAATCTGTATAATAGACTCATTAAAAACTATCCAATTGCCAGTATTGAGGATCCTTTTGCAGAGACCGATATTGACAGTTGGAGGTATTTGTACGGATTGGTTGGTGATAAAGTCACCATCATTGCTGATGATCTGACTGTTACAAACCCAAAAATAATTATGGAGCTTAGGGGTCTTTTTAATGGCGTTCTTATAAAACCAAACCAAGTTGGAACAGTGAGCGAAGCAATAAAGGCTATTCAAGTAGCCAGAAGTCTAAATATGAAAACAATGGTATCACATAGATCAGCCGAGACAGAAGACACCTTCATCGCACATCTAGCAGTTGGAATGGGCAGTGATTATGTGAAGGCAGGCGCTCCATGCAGAGGCGAAAGAATTAGCAAATACAACGAATTTCTAAGGATTGAGGAAGAAATTAACCGGAGCAGTATCCAAAACAACCACTAAGTCATTTAATCTACTTCATATGAAAAGCATAAACACACTTGCCAAAGTGTATTGACAGGATTTATCTAAGATTGCTCAGACTCAAAGCTTTCCATAATTAGGTTTAATAATGTGCCATATTCTTAGACCATGACTACATAGGGTGTTCCTGCACAGTGTTTAATGCTTCAACCGCACAGAAGACTCTATTTTGTGTGAAATCGTGCATGTAGCAACATTTTCTGACGCTTATCAAATGTTTTATTGCAAACTTCACATTTGTAAACCTCCTTCTCCTTTTTCTGCGTTTTCAAATACGCTTCATCTGTGACCCACATCTTTGTTACTAAAGGTTGGCCACTAAGTGTATCAATACTGACGGGCTCCAACCTAAATCTTCTCAATGGAGCATTCATGGCTTCCTCAACTGCTTTTTGCTGCTCCAATATGACAGAAACGCCCTCATTTGTTCTTTTCTTATCTCCCTGAGACTGCTCGCACTTTTGGAGTGAAGCCGAAAGATCCATGGGTATCTGAAACACAGTACAGATATAAAGCTTTGGCTGGTATATCTATGGCACTATTGATGCTAAAGTCTTAGCAGTAAGATACTTGAAACGAGAGCAGAGATGTACTTTATATATGGCAGAGAATGCGCATAGCCGATGAAATAAAAAGCTTGGCATGTGGAATTAATTTATTATTAAACTTCTTTATTATTATTGTTTGTGTTCTTTACATCACTAGATTTTCTACTTCTATGGATTCTATATTCGTTGGGTAAATCTCTAAACCTGATCATCTTGATGACGAACTTTGCCGCTTTGACAGTCGCTGCTTGAAGTTTTTGGCTGAAAAAGGAGAACAGGACGCTTCTGCCTATGTTGTACGCCATTCCTATAATTAAACTTGCGCCGAGCGATGCCAAGGAACTAATCCAACCGAAATTAGAGAGGAACGAAAATAATCCGCTTTCACCTCCAAAGAATGAAATGCCCAGGATGTCTCCAGTAGACTGAATCACAGTAAGTATATAATTGATCAGGTCTGGTACAATTTTATAATGCGTGCCAGTAACTATGAGATTCACAAAAGGCTGGATAAAATCAAAGAGCCCGTAGAAAGCCTCTACAATGTCAAATATAATACTAGCAAGAGTTCCACTGACTGTGCCATGGTTTCCGAGAAGTGATATAAATGGTATGATGTTCGAAACAAGAGGCACGACGACCCATCCTGAAAGCAAGCTTGAAAAAAAATATATCATTGTGACAAAAAATATGTACCTGGTGAACATGTAAAATATTCTAAAATAGACAATGACGAACCTTTCGATTACTTTTGTAGCAGAATCCTTAATGTACCACTTAATGCTCTTAAGATAGAGGAAAAGTACCAAAAACAGTAGGATGTCAGCTATAGAAACATAGAAATGTGCTGCAAGATTACCAAACCATATATTGGAGAATATCAGGTAGTAGTCTACACCACCGCCTAAGAGTATGGCTGCTGCAGCTATGTATTTTATAAGGAAGATAGAGAAAAATACCGGAAGGCACCTCTTCGCGGTATCTCTGAGACGTGGAAATATTAAAGAAAGAAGAAGTGTAGCAATAATGAAGGTGCCGATGATCAATGGATACATTCTAAAGTCGAGGAGAAAAGAGAATGGTGGAAAGTTGTCAATTTCGTATCTTCTTGAATACTTTAAATGATCGGAGTGTCCACTTTCAATCATGCTACGTACCTCCTTGTTCAAGAAGCCAATAGCTGAATTGTCATGCTTGGTAAAAAACTCTCCAAGCGATGGAAAGTACTGTCCCAGAATGTCCCACCATGGACGGACAGTCACTTTTTCTAGTGGATCATACTGTAATGGCTGTGGTGATAGCTTATCTGAAATCCATGATTTTAACCCACCAAACGATACACCGTCCTTGCCATCATCTATCTGATGCTTCAATTCTCCGAGTGATAATGCATTGCTTATTCCAAGCAGTGCAATGTAGATAATACTCACGGTTATACATTTAAATTTAAACTTCAGCATGATATCGGGGCGGAAATTTTGAAGAAAAGTCAAAGGAGGGTCCATATAAAAGGAGTAGCATTTAAAGTACAGCGAGTGTTTGTTGCAAGTTGTGAGCTATGCCTCATCTTATCAACAATGTTTAGCTATCTGCTTTTCATACTTGCGTTTTAGGGTCCGTCATAAAAGTTTAAAAAACTAAATAAATTTAAACAGCATTGTCTCATTTATGGATTTACTTCTTCAACATACTTGTAAATATCCTCCCGCAATACCTCAACACATCCTAAAGGATATCTAATCTCGGAATTATTCTTCTTACTTTCAACAATCAGATAGTTTCTATGGCACTCAACACCCTCGTAATCAATCACACACACATCCACATTCGATCCCGAGTAGAGATCATTCAATATTCCTGCCTTGACAGCATCTACTCCAAGTGCTATTGCCTGTTCTTTGGTCATGTTTTTCTCAAACTTAGATTCAATAACAGCTATAGCAGCCAGTGATCCAGACCCAAGAGAGGTAAACTCAAGACTGCTGGAGTATCCATTTGGATGTATTGAATACAGGAACACTCCATTGCTGTCAACTCCACCCAAGACTAGTGCTGCCTGAATCTGTCCTCCGTAGTTGTGGAGATAATCACAGATAATCCTCTCACAATGCGAAACGTAAGGATCTTTCATATGCTTGTACGAGAATAGCTGCAGTTTCTTCGATGCCATCCTCGTCACTCTCCCTGTGTCAGCTGCCGTTCCTGCACCACAACACATGATCTTTGGTGCTATAAAATGTATCTTTTCACAGTTTTTATCTGCAACTAATGGTCCTGAAGTACTTCGTGTATCCGCACACAAGACCACTCCTGTTTTGTACTTGATTCCTACAATTGTTGTTCCTGTTTTGACTATCATGGAAAGGATGGTAAAAATATTATTTAAAAAGAGAAAAGCCTCGGCTAAACACCACCATTACTTTATTTTGCGCCACCCATTAATCTGCGCTTGTTTTCAGCTTGCATGCACAGGCATTACCGGAAATTCTTACTAAGACTTAAGATGGATGCACAAAAGATCGGTGCATTTTTGCTTCCACAGAGCAAAATATACTCAATTTAAGATTTGTTTTGCATCTGTACTAGACTGATATCTTTGACATTTGTTATCCGTGTCTTCTTTTTTACCACACCCCTCACTTTTCGATGGAAGATGTAGAAGACTTAATTGAGGAGATTGTATGCATTTATAAAAAGATAAGACAAGGAAGGGAGTACAGAACATACCAGTTTAAGACGAGCAACTCCTCAAAGGAGGAGGCAAAAAATGGCCAGCAGAGGGAAGAAGGCTTAAAGGCGTATAAAACAAGCATTTTCCCAAAGGAGGAAACAAAGATAAAAAATGTGACAGTTGTCCAAGATGAAGAAGAAAGCAACACCAAGTTAAAAAATAACGATGATGTAAATAGGAGTGCTAAGATTGTAAATTGCTTTGATTTCAATAAACACATCCTTAAATGTAAGAAATACCTTTTTTATTCGGAAAATGAAGGATTGAAAGAATCTGACAATTTGATTGTTCCCAGGGATTTTGAAAAGTTTTTCTGGATCAACATCTTCGATCCAAACATGGAAGACTTTGGGCATCTTTCAAATATCTTTCAGATTCACGAAACCACAATTGCCGAAATAAGAGAGAAAAACAGCCCCGAGAAGATTGATGTTTACAGGAACTACGCTTACATTTCTCTTAAGATGTTTGTGAACAAGAAAAGCAGAGAAGACATCAACTTCAACGTGATAGTCTTCGACAACTTTATTGTCACAACTCACAATAAGCAGTGGCAGGGCGTGAATAACATTCTCAACTTCTGCCATGCTATTTCAAAGGCTACCATTCTGAATCCCAGCTGGGTATTCATGTCGATTATCATCGAGTTTCTTCAGGACATACTGTTCAGTATGGACGAGATCGAAAAGCAGACAGACTCTTTTTCTACGAAGCATAGCGTCAAGGAGCTCCAATCTAACTTCTTTTATCTCCAGCAGGTATTTGTTCTGAAGCAATATACCCGGCCGAAGATTAAAATTTTGAGAAAGTTTTTACGGACTGATTTTCCGAAGAGTCCGGTAAAAAAGCTGCTGAAAATGTGCATAAAGGACTTCCTGGACATCAAATCTCTTCTGGGAGAGGCCAAAAGATCTTTTGAGAGGAACCAGGACATGATTTTGGGGCTGAGAGACATTGAATTGGCAGAACAGAGCCATCAGATGAATGTGATAATGAATAGAATATCCAAAATCACTTTTTTATTTCTTCCGATTCAGTGCATTGCAGGTATTTGGGGAATGAATGTCAGGGTTCCTTGGCAAGACGAGGAGTCTACTCGTTATTTTTGGCTTTTGACACTGTGTGGACCAGTGCTATGCTTCCTGTACTTTTTTCTGACCGAGAATCGAAAAAAGTCAAAGAAATCGGCTGGAGTTAATCAGATTTAATAAAGTTTATGAATTTATTTGTTTAGACTAACTTAGCACATAATCTACCAATGTGCATTAGTTAAAGCATATATGAGAGATGCATGCGACCTTCTGAGCTGTGATAGGCTGGTTTATGACGAACTCTGCTTAAAAAAGTGCAAATGGTCTATGTTCGAGCCTTTATTTTGGCTTCAAACCCTTGTCAATCTGTCAAATATATCAAATTTAATAAATGTAAGTTAAAAATTTTATATCCTTAACATGGAAGAGACGAATTGTAACATGGCAAATACCCGATTTGAACGTCTAATAAGATATTTGAGAATTCGACTGGCGATTATTGTTTCATCTACCACTTGGGAAAGTAGGAAGGTAAAGAATGATGCCACCAGTCACTCTAAGATTATCGTTAATGCTTTCCAGGATAGTCTAATATCCAAGATGATTAGTGATGTGGGCTTTGACGACATAGTAGAAGAAAATTACCCAATGAACTATTTCAAAGATTTATTGGGCATTTCGGGTAAGTTTGGAGAAGAATTTCTTTCAATTCTTTTGAATCCTTTTTACATATTTTCACCTGTCTATATTACACTACTGGTTCTATCAGCAGTCCTTCTTCTAGCTATTTTTTATATTGACAAGCCGTTGTTATATTCTGCAGTGCAGTATGCTTATTTATGCAATTTCTCACTAGTTACTTGGATTGCTTTTGCTAATCTCAGTATTTTTGAGAGTGTTTCTATTTTCCCATCTGCGAAACTCCCAAAGAACCTTGAGTATTTCATTGAGCTTTATCCTTACGGTTGGATGTTCTGTGAAATATTTGTGCTACTACTTTATTGCTTTTACATTATCGGTTACAAGCTACATGAAGAGGAAGGAGACCAAACTAGAAGAAGCTATATCAGGAGCAAATATGTAAGGCTTGGTGTTCTGACATCACTTGTTGTATCTGGAATGTGCTATTTTATCAGCAAGATTGCTGTGACATGGGTGGGAAACCTCTTGCTTGGGTTCTATGTTGTGAACGTTGTTATACTAGTAATAATTTTCATCCCATTAGGATGTAGGATAATGTTTGTGCTGAATGATGATCCATTAAATTAGCAAATACTGGGTAATTTTAGCTGTTGAATGCACAGTAGACTAAACTGTGGTGCAACTGCAATATAGAGCATAAATCTAATGTCTAGTTGGCATTTGTGCTCTGCTTTTGCTTCTTTTGATTTTTAGTTAATATTTCAGTTTTGATTTTATTCCGCTATCTTTTGTCATCATTCGATTTCGTGGTACAGCAACGTTTGTTACGATTCTGCCAATATATTCTATCAATACATTAGCAGTGGCGTTCATTGGAAATACACAAATACTCTCCCGTCCTATCACCAACCCTGCTGTTAATGTAATTATTATTTTTTGTAAAAATTTTTCACTTTTCTCCCCCCACCATGCAAAGAGATATTTCTGAGCTTGACTTTTCAAATGACGTGGATATACTATATGCTTACAAAAATATCAAGAAAAATTCAAGACTGCTGAAAGAAATTGCTCAGGTCAAGATTTCCAGCTTTGAATTTGGAATTGTGTGCTTGGACACGATTGAATCTGCCATTTTGGAAGAACTTGGAGAGTCCTTTGTTGACAATGAAATGATAGAATTGATACAACAGTATATAATCAGTGATAAGAGCTTGAAGGATAAGAACACAAGAGACGACGATCAACCGAGTACTGATTCAGATCAAAACGCTGTAAAAACATGCAACAGCGATAATTTAAAAGAGAAAAATCACAACAATGACAATAAATGTCATAAAAATGATAGTATGGCTGAACCAGACATTGCAAATAAAAGCTTTGTAAGCGTATTGGATGAGTCTAAGCAAAACGAAGACAGTAACGTCAATAACGACAAAACAGATGGCAAAAAGGCTTTGGATGATCCTTTGTTTCATTGTAAACTTCTCAACATTCTTTTGAGACCCCTGGTAAATGTCTGCAATAAGCAAATAGTTGATCTTGTTTACTATGTGTATAGAAAGACCGGCATTTCCCATTTCGACTTTCTTTTCAATGCATTTACATTAGATACACAAAAGATTGAACTTCATTTGCTTGTTGCAAAGGGGATAAAGGCCAGATCTTTTGACTTTACTGATTTTAAGGAATATTTGAAAGCAGACAGTGATCAACAATGCGAGGCTCGAAGTAACGAGTTCAGTCTTTCCGAAGGATCAGATCCTATCATTCCCCTGCCATTTCTGGAGCCAGATACGGCTAAGAATACCTCAGTTAGTTTTACCTCAAATGAAGACGAGTCGTCAGATGATAGCCTCACCTCAATAACTGCCCTTCTCTCCAGGCCATTCAAAGAAAAAGTACTCGTAGATCAATCTGTGCATCTCTCTAAGGCCAAGGATCTTCTTCTCTCTGCCAAATATTCTGATGCTAATTTTCTAGTTGACAATCTTTCAAATTTCCTGTACATAAAATTTGATAGGGAGATTTTCGAGAAATTTTTATCATATTCCAATCATTATTCGTTTTGTATTCATTTAAATAAACTGCAAAATGTCCCTTTTTTCTTTTATGAACAGGTAGATATTAGAAAAGTACTGTCAATCATACCAAAAATGCCCCACGACTCTTACAATTACCGCAAGAGAGATGTCTCGCCATATATGCTAAAGGTTAACAGCTCTTTGCTGAAGAGCTATCTTGATTTTTCTCACCATACTTTCAACAGCCTTGAATCTTTAGATATAGACTATATTCTAGTTGCCAAGGGTCTTAAATACTTTGTCGGCACTTACAGATCCTGTTCTCTATTTAAGATCTTCTTTGAACTTCTCAGCTGCAAGATCACGAATGTTTCAAATGAAATTAAGAGTATTCTTTTGCCCGATCTTAGTCTCTACTTGGACGTATTTTATGGCAAGGCAAAGGAGAGCAACCAGCACGAAAGCAGCACAGACAAGAGTACTGAAATAGAACAAGCGTTTCCAAACCTCAACGACCCTGTTGACATTTTAGTTAGTTCATACTTGAATCCTGGATTTTACGCGGAAATTGATAGACATATTTCCCAGTCTTTGTTAGATGCATTTGAAAAGAAATCGGACATCGATCAGAATGACGTTGATGATTTCATTGAAGCACTCTTGTTTGAGATTTCCCTTGATTCTGCGTATAAAATTTGCATTTTAGAGTCAATAGAAAAGATATGTGAAAAAATCAATAACGGCAGCACTGCTAATATTTCTGAGTCGTTTGATAGAATTTTACAAAATTTAAAGATATTCCCAAAGCTAAACTGGAGATATAAAAAAGCGTTTATTTTAAAGGCAGACGTTCTAGAAAAGTTTGGAATCAAACGGGAATGGATAAAAGAAGAATTTAAAAATGATAGAGTGTTTTATATTAAAAATATGACGAAGAGTCTATAAATAAATCAATTTAGAAGATGATCACATCAAAATTTAAGTTCTAATATTTGCTTGATGAAAGCTGAGTTATATTAAAATTAAACAGAATACTAAGTGATAGGTGTCATAAATATATAACAGTAAATAACTGAAGTACAAAGACAGCTTTTCTTCACGGACTTTTTAATATGTCGGTACTACGAAGAGGCGTTACCGCCTTTCAAATTCAACAACTTTAGGGAGACTCGTTTCAATGAATTCAACGGTCCCTCATACACAAGCCCTCTTTCATCGTACCAGTTTAACAGGTCTGCCCACATCTCATTCTTGTATAAGGTAAATGGATTTCCTATGATAATCAGTCCATGCTTAGCACGTGTTAGGGTCACGTTCATTCGTCTCTTGTCGCCCACGAACCCTACGCCCTGGAAAATATTTGATCGTACCAGACTAACAATTATAAAATCCTTCTCTCTTCCTTGGAATCCATCAACATTCTTGATTTCAAGGTTGCCTGCTTCGTTTCCAAATATTTGTCCGAGAATGTACGATCTTTGTCCCTCGTAGGGGGTAATCACTCCAATCTGCTGTTCAAGTACTCCATTTTTGAATAAAAACCGTATTATGTTTTCAACTATCACGGCTTCACTTTTATTAAAGAACGACGTACGGCTTTGACTAATTTCCTCCTTGCCGTCACAGACATAGAAAAAGTTGTTTGGAAGATCAAGAACCTTACTTGTACTGGTACCCGACTTGAGGAGACCGTTGTAGAAATACTCAGAAGGAAAGGCACAGAGATCAGGATGCATCCTGTACTGTACGCTAAGAAGATATGGCATTACTCCTATCCTCAAAAGTCTTTCAAATAGACTTTGCTTGAATCCATACTTCACTACATCCTTATTTAGAATAGTAGGTCCAAGCTGCTTGTGGTCACCCACCAAAATTAATTTCTCTGGACTGTACACGCAAGGCACCAACGAGAGGGGCTCGGTAGACTGGACCGCCTCGTCTATAAGAACAAATGGAAACTCAAATTCTTTTAAAATCTTCTGTCCAGCGGTAACACAAGTACAACACACTACCTCTGCCATTTCGAGAAGATTTCGTTGTGATGCATTCTTTGAATCTATGAAAAATTCGTTAAGCAGTTTATGAAGACATAGAAAATCAACATCCGTGGAGACATCTTCCCTTCTTTTGGACATTATCCTCAATACTTTAAGACCAGTATCATTAATCTTAATGGCTAGCTGATCTGCGGCCGTATTGGACGGCGCAACAACCAGAACTTTTTTACCATAATGCTTCACAAGATTATATACAATTACAGCTGATACCATCGTTTTTCCAGTGCCTGGCGGCCCCTGGATTAGCGTAAGTGTTCGTGTCAATGCAGCTTTGACTGCTATTTCCTGAGACTGATTCAATGCGAAGAACTTCTTAGGTTGAAAAACTTCTATCTCCTTCATGGTTTCTTTGACTCCTTTAAGAATGTACTTAAAGATTGTGTTGCTCTTCTTCTTATTGTATAAGCTTTGAAGTGCATTCTTCATTCTGTTATAGGTTGTTGGATTCCAAATAAATTCAACAGTGTATCCATTCCTGGGTATATTTTCGAGAGTATGCCCGGATGGTAGAGAATCTACATCAATCTTCACTCTAATAAGATCGCTAAACTGCTCCTCACAGACATATCCCACAAATGACAGTCCAGGTCGTTGTGAAAATTTCAGCTCGTCGCCCACATTTACTTTGAAATCACTGTTGGTCTTCTGCACTATAAATTTGCAATAGCACCCATCAATAAGTAGCGTCATATTTTCTTGCTTCATGTTTTCCTTGATTTCCTGTTCCTTCCTGCATTCTGCATTTATCAATGGTATAAATGTGCTGAGATAAGATTCTGGGGTGAAGTGCATTTTGATTTTAGGTGAAGCTTCTGTCTCCTTAACTCCTGCAATTCGATTGAGCATTTTACAGAAGGATAAAAGCTTATTAGTTTTTCCCCAACAATTTTAGGCAAATCCTTGCAATGCCCACAATAAATATTTGTGAGGATGCCTGGAAGCTGTTTACTATAATCATTCAATAACTTCATATGCTGATCAAAGGATTCATTTGTTAATTTGATGTTCTCGTCTATGGCTTCATTTACTTCTGGACTGCTAATAATTTCGGTCATAGCATTCGACTTGGTTGTTTTTGAAGTCTCAAGACCTTCAGTGCTCTCTTCGGCGACATCCTCTTTACTTTCACTTTCTTCAGTAACACTGTCTTTGACACTATTCAAGTTCAGGTCACTCAGAAGTCCAAGCAGCTCTGCTCTACAGTCAGAATCCATAGCTAAACCCAGTCTAAATAGATTGTTCTCACCACAGCCTATACAAACTACATCTTTATCCAAAATAGAGACCCTCTTGTGCTTTGATTTGACTAAATGATAAATTATGTGTGACTTTCCGTCTGTTATGTCATTGCAAAATCCGTGCGAACACTCTGTGCATTTAATGAGCGTTTCTTTGTTGCAGTATTTACATTTATTGATAAATTCCATTCGTCTGGGCTAAAGTAAAAGATAGGAAAATTTTTGCAACTTTTCATAACAGAAAAAGGGTATTAAAGAGCATTATATTGTTAGTTTTTATTTAGGATTTAAACCTAATCTCAAATGGTGGCTTGCTGTTTTATAGTTCATTTTAATCCCTACGTCCTATCTAAAGATGAACAATAGCGCTCTAGAAAATAATGATCAGAACAATGCTTTGAATCAAGATAGCGCCGTAGAAAAGACTGCCGATGGTACTTTTGGGAATGTTATAGATCAAAACAACATCAATGATGTTCCCGAACCCAGTTCTGAGTTGATCAGAGACATTTTTGAGATAAATAAGAAGTTAAATGAAGAGAATCGAGCGCTTAAGACAAAGATTCAAGAATTAGAGGGGAAATTTACCGAAATGTCTTTGTCTTATGAAGAGCAGATAAATGAACTGACAAATTCCGCTATTGACAAGGACTTTGAAAAAGGAATATTTGTAGAAAGTGAGATTCTTGGCAGGCTAGAGCAGGAAAATATTCAGCTGAGGAAAACACTAGAAGAGTTCTATAAAAAGACATTAAAGGAGTGGTACGAGGAAATGAGAATGAAGCATGGCTGTGAAACGTAAATAAACTGATAAAGATCAAAATCCCTTCTTTTACTTATCTTCAGGCAGTTTTTCTATCAATACAACTTTGGACTGTTAGAATAGAAAGAGTAAAAAGTTTGATAGTGCTTGTTGTAGACACTTTCTTTGTGCTTATGCCGAATGCTTGAAATGAACTGCTTTAGTGTTGTTAATTTTAAGAAAGAAAACCAATTCAAACTATCGATTTACTATTTATACTGCTTTGTTTTTAAGAATGGTGTTCTGTGCTTTTAGCCTACTTTTGAAACTGTCAAATTTCTTAACGGACAATTTTTGCAAAAAATTTTCTAATATTCTGATTTTATCATAAAATCCAGTCAAATCTCCTCTAAACACAAGCCTTTCCGCTCTTTTTCTGATATTTCTTGCTCTCTCTTCCAGCTCGTCCCTTTTACTATTCAATAATTCCAGTCTCTCACTTATCAATTCATACTCTTTCTCATTTTCATGCTCCCTGACATCAAGATCCATGTCAATTTTTTGGAGTACGTTCAAAATTGACTCATACTTTTTTAGAAGCAGCGAATTTTTCAAAAACTGGTCTTTCTGCTGCTCGTCCCTAATAAAATCGGGTATTTTGACCGTCGTTGGATTTACTGTTATCTTATAATCACTCATTTCATATGTTGGCTGGTACGTGTTGGTTTGTCCTGCACTCACTTCTGTGTTTAGAAAATAGATGCGTTTCGACGAGACTGCTATGTATTCTGATATGCCCTGATCCAAGCCGTATATTCTATCTTTCATTATCATAAAAGGTGCCTTGGACAGATGAATTAAAGTGTCTGACAGGAAGAAGTTTAGGACAACTTCATCACTGCTATTTTGTATGGCAAGAGTGTATTGAATTAAGAGTGTATCTTCTGCTATTTCATACTTTAAAATACTTTTGTCCGTTTTGATAAAAATAAACCTTTCAAATGCATATATTTTGCAGGCATTGTCCGTTACTTCGGGTATGTATTTGATTTTAGATAATAGCGTGATGCACTGGGTTATAAAGACATTTTTACATCTCAAAATTTGATTTTGGCTGGTGAGGATGTACGTGTCATCACCAGTACAAGCCATACTCTTGGCTTTAAAAGGCAATTGGATTTCAATAAGTAGGCCTGGTGATGAACCGTTCATATTTTTTGATCTACCAGCATCTTCTCTTACTTTAAATATCTCTATTGACTCTGTGTATAGAAAACCCAGGTAGTTGTTGCGAGTGTCGTTGTATTTTAGAATTTGGATTGGTATTTCTTTTAGTATAACTTCACTATGACTGGATGAGTGAGCATGAATGCTGTGTGCTGTGTTGATATTGATAAGTGTCAGCACATTTCCTGACACACTGCACAGAAAAGCATCCTTTAGGACTGTGAGGAATGAGGAATTCTTTACGGGAAAAACTTTCGAATGTGAATTTGTAGACTGGGAATAAACGTGAATGAAATGGTCGTTGAAGTAAAAGACATTGTCTCGGGATATTGCTATTGTAGAAGTGTTTGGAATATCATGATCTCTGAAATATACTTGATATGTGGATGGACAAGTCTTCATCATCGAGTCTTGGGCCATGTGGGCATCAAATAAAAATTTGACAAGAAAAATTAGACATTTATCAGGAACATTTGTGTTTTAGCTAGTGTTTGGCTTTGCCTTGTATTTAGAATTGGTTGGCCTTTCTTTTGATATTAGTTAAGTCGGTAATTAGTAATTTGCCCTTGATCTGGCTTTATTGCACGAAAATTAGGCAGAACATGCCAAAATGTAACCCGTACAGTGTAAATACAATAGCTTGTACTTAAACTATTATTTTCCCGTATTCTTTATTTGTGCTTTCTTTATTTATAATTTCTATTTTTATCCTCCCTGTGAATGGTTCCAGAGCAGAATATTGCACAATTTCTTGAGAACTTCAGTAAGAGCGATAGAATCCATTTGAGAACATATAACATGCTTTATGAATCATATAGAGATCCCAAAAACCTACGAGATCTTATTTCATTGCTTATAGATTCTGGTGTGAATGTTGAAAACTTAAGTGTGTTGTTGGAGAACATAAGGATGATGGAGGAAAGTGACAAAACTAGTTCCCACGCATTATTTGATAAGACTAAGCCCATAAAACACAGTTTTGAAAGCTATGAATCACCAAATATTGCTTCTGTAGACCTTTCCAAGAGACCAGAGCCTGTGTGTGGCAACTCTATTGACACAAGTGAATTACCATTGAAGAAGAGTAAGGTTGAACTGGAAGCTGGTGCTGAAGAATTAAGTATTCCTGGGTTGCTACTTGATTCGGACCGTGATGACAATGAATTAAAGGAAGTTTCAGCAAAGATTAGTGTT